CGTTTTACATGTGAAAAATTAAATAGAAGTTATATGCGTAAAAGAAATTATCACTCTAAAGATACAAGTTGAGATAAGACGGAGGTTGATTTGAATGTCAAGTAGTTCAGTATTACTTAAGTAAAGCCTTGAGTTTGAGTCATTGTATATGTAAAAAAAATTTAATGGTAAATTCATCTATCACATCTAGGTGTGCAATCTGAGTTAAATTTAAATTAAATTGAACAATTTTTTAAGCTTTATTTAAAAATTTAGATGAGGAAAAAGAAAGGTTTAAAGGGGTAAACCTCCTTCCTTGTTTAAATGTTAGAGGGGAGGATAATAGGAAGTTAATAATGTAAATTATATTATAGCATTTTATATATTTTATTTTTTATTTTTTCAAAAAATACAAAAATTAAATATTTTCTTCTTTTAAAAATTAATATTTTTAAAAATTAATATATTTTAAAACTATCACTCTAAAAATATATTTTAAAAATTATATTTCTATTTTTTATAAATTTTTTAAAAAATATCACTCTAAAAATTAATATATTTTGAACAAAAATAACAACTATATAACCAAATACAATAACACAATTATTCAAAGTAAGTAGTGGAAACAATTCCCCAAACTTGCAAGAACTTATGAGGAGCAATAACAATAACAAATGATTGCAATAAACACAATGACACAGAGAATTATTTACGTGAAAAAACTCTCTCAATGTGAGAAGTAAAAGCCCTCATACTCAAGCCAGTCAATCATGTTCCACTATAATCAAATAAGGATTACAAGAGTGTTCAATCATGTACACAAATTCGTGCAAACAGCAGTCAATATCAACAAAGCAATAAAGCCGAACCAAAGAGAAAATCTCACAAAACAGGTTTACTGTTCAGACACAATTTCTCTCAGCCAAAACCTTCTACGATCCCAATGATCAGAACCAATAACTATACATCTGAAAACTGCTGTCAAAGTTTCAGCTCGATCCAACAGTTAACTAAAGAGAAATAACGATTTCTCTGCAGTTGGTTTGTGTAGAGTCACCAAAGCAGGGCTTCTGTGCGAAGATAATATCTCCAACCTCAGACCTACAAATAATAATCCGAACAGTCAGAATGAAGAACACCGTGTTACGAACCTGCTGTAAAATTTTTAATCTGATCCAACGGTGAACGAATCGAATATCGTAGGAATGCAGTAGCTAGTCTGGAGCTTCTTTCTTTTCTAACTTCCCTTCTCTCTTTTAATGTTTCTCTGCAGAAATACACACTCTTAAGGCTGCGGGAAACTCACTCTAATTCTCCTTAGTCAGACTCCTAATCCTCTACCAAATGGGGCTTAGTGAGCTGATAGTATTGGGCTTTTGTCTACGTAGTTGGGAGCCCCAAACCCAACAAAGAATATGATTCAAGCGTATCATACCTTAATATATATATATATATATATATATATATATATATATATATATATATATATATATATATATATCCGTAACATGTTAATAGATAGTGTTTATTGCATGTTCTCAATCCGCCAATAGCCGTTACGGTTAAAATCCTTAATATATTATAGCCTTATCCATGTTAACAGACAAATCTTTCTTTCTTCCTTTCCTCTTTGCCACTTTCGGTTGACAACCAAAAATTCTCTAGCAGAAAGAAACAAGCACTCAGGAGATATATAACAGGGGAACGAAAACATAAAGAAAGAAAGAACTCAAGAAACAGCTAAAGAAAGGGTGCATTACGGGTTGACATTTAATGGTAGAAGTTATCATCACATTAGAAAATTAGATAATTGGTTGGATTATAATATAAAATTAAAATTGATAATATAACTTATTGTATGTTATAACCACTTGGTTTGATATCATAGCGCATTTTATCGCTACGGTCATTTATGTTGAACTCTATCTTTTTGTCCCCTCTTATTGCTACAATTTATTTAGACCATGCATGGTTGAATTAATGTTTGACGGCCAGCGAATATTGAATAATATGTAATGATTAATAAAAAATAAATATCAATTTTTATTTTACTTATGATGGAAAAGAAATAAATCCATCTCTTATCTTAAAACAAATAAAAAAGAGAGATATTAACATTTTATGATGTAGGAGAAGAAGAGACTGAAAAACTTGTCTCTCTCTTCCATATACAAATACATAGGGTGTTTATAATTTTTTCGACTGATTAAAAATTAACGTAGTTATATCAATTCATTATTTAAACACCCTCCGCACCTCAATTTTTAAAAACAAAAAACACTACCACTGTAATGAGTTCTATATATTATCCTCTAGGAAGCGCTAGCAGCTGGTTAATTAAGATTGCTTATGCACCGTTAAATTTGTCAATTTGTTTGATACGTTTCCACTTAAGTGGTTAATCATAAATCATAATGCATCAAGGAGGGGGACCCCGAGATATTCTCTAATGTTTTTTAAGAAAAAAATTCAACATTTCTAGGGATTGCAAGGATATTATCGCCCGCCAACCCCTGTTGATTTTATTTAGTAGACAATTACACATTTCTCGCCAATAGCTGTGCATCAGCGCATGTGGAGCAAACTGGTGATAATTCAGATTATTTAAGACTATAATACTATTATAATTTTGTTTATTTCTCCGGAGTTTTTCCTGCTGTTTTTTTTGCAAGAATCATGTAACTTATGTTATGAATTTGACAAAAATATGAGTATTTGTTTTTGCAGATACAGAACTGCAGCATTTGTGTAGAAATTTGAAAATTGTCAATTTTTTTCCCGGAGATCTTAGCTATGAAAATATTGTTTATTTTGTTGCAAAGAAAACAATCTACAAGAATTTTTTTTTATAGATTCTAAAGTTTGTAAAAACTATTATCCATAGAAGTTTTCCTGGGAACTTAAACCTACATAAAATAGAATTTTACATATACTCAATTGTAATTTGTAAGAAATTTTGCAGAAAATCAATAAATTTTAGTTGTGTAGTATTCTGCCACTTTGCAAACGACTTATATGAAATTAAGAATTAGATTGCTTTACTAATTAAGCACCAACTTCATATGAAAGGGAAACTTTGGAGAAATTGGTCTTCTCTTCTCTTTGGGGGATGTTCTCCTTGGGGGATGTTCTCCTTGATCAGAAAATGAAAAATGTTGCTAATTACGTAGAAACACCAAGAACAACTTACCAGTATATGAACGAACTATGCCGCACAACCTCGTGAAATGTGTCGACTCTGGTGGGGCTCTCAGTGAATAATTTTTGCAAATCGAAATGAAGTTTCTGTTGGCTTTACGTGCTTCACCATTTTACTGGTGGAATATTGGAACTTAATATTAATCTCCCTTGGATTCCTAATTAAGCTCGCCAGGTTTTCTGTACAAGTTTAACTCCGTGTACCTGTTTCGTTGAACACTAATGCATAAAAATAGGAAACATTTACTTTATAGTACGTGTATACACGTAAGAGGTCCCAAAAAAGACGAATTAGAGCTAAATTATTCTGCAACTTTGCATTTTAAAAAAATTAAATAAATCAAGTTTGAAAAACTTAAGATTAGTCCCTATCACAATCAGTAATTATTGATAAGTTAAAAATATTATACACATAATAAAATTCAAACATATAAACACTCGATTATAGTATCTATACCAAACATCCTGTATAAACTGGTTATTAAAATAACATCAATCAAGAAAAAAAAAAAGACTTTACAATGCGGATCCATCGGGTTAATGGTTGTTTATTTGAGACAGTGGTGTTAATTAATGAATTGTTATTTGAAATTAAAAATTATTATTTAACGTTGATGCAGAAATGGAAATGAGGGGAGGGCCCATGCATGCATGAGATTTGAGCGAAAAAGTCTTAGAATGCCCGTGACCGACCGCATCTCGTGCAAGACCCATGTACGGACAAAATATCTAGCGCTGTCAATTTATAATCCCACCAAATATCTCCACAAACTCATCACCATTCACGAGCACTTTCTTTCTAACTCTATAATTCCATTCATATCCATTCACCACTGCTTCTTAAATCACACTACTAATGAAAACAACGGTCCAATAATTTCAATAATGTTAATCAACAGCATCCACCTACACTGAAACAGCTTGTGACTTGAGTACTCTTGCGAATCATCACTTCAATAATGTTAATTAACACTTTGAGCGTCACTGCACGTAAGTCCGCAAATATCTGAACCCCAACTTTGTCCCTTTGCATAACACCAATGATCAAGCGCCCTTTTGCTTGTTGTATTTTACATAAATGCACACTCTTCCATACGACTGTTTTCATCAGAATATGTACCGTGTGTTCTATTTCTTAACCTTTACTTTCAATAGGAACACCACTTACCAGCCAGCTCACTTTGCATCATCTTACCCTGTATAGTTTCAAGCAATGTTATTTATATATATACTGGTATTTATAATGATTTCTACATAAGAAAAAAAGAGAGAAGAGTGAGATAAAATTAATGAAGTGATGAAAAAAGAAAAAAAAATAGATAAAAACTATTATATAATATATTTTAAAAAATCCTATATATAAAATAAAGGGATTATTCTTGAAAACTCTTTCGTGTCTTACACCTATTATTAATGGACAAGCAGGTGAATTGTGTGTGGGAGATAATATCAAAAGTTAAGAGAAAATGACAAGAAATAAAAATAGAATAAGAGCTTGAAAGAGTGCAAAAGAACATCTTTCTAAAACTTGGAATTCAAAAATAAATCAGTTTCATCATTACTTGAATATAAAAACAATGGTATTATATATAATTATTTTTAATTTTTACTTGTTTTTTAATTTTCATATATACTCTTCTTAAAAACGAAAGAGATAATTTTTGTTGTCTAAATTTTGAAGATGAAAAAATAATCTCCAAAATACTCGCCAATAATTTCAACTCCAAGGACAATTACGTAAATTAACAACCACCTCTTGCGAGCTTTGGCTATATTAAAGGCCTCACTCCTCGCCATGCATGCACACCAAACATTATAGCTACTAGTAGTAGCTACCTTCATCTTTCCTTTTTCTCAACCATGGATGTTAAGTTTGCCACAGCCTTAATAGTTTTGTATGTAATTTGCCTGAGCAAGAGCAGTGCCTTTGACCCTTGTGCCTCTCAACCCGATGACTCCTCCGATCTCAACGTCATTCCCATCTTCAGCAAATGCTCACCGTTCAACCCACCAAAGACAGACTCGTGGGACAACAGAATCATGAGCATGGCCTCCAAGGACCCAGCCCGAGTCAAGTACTTGTCCACGCTAGTGGAAAAAAAGACCGTCTCCTCGGCCCCGATTGCATCGGGCCAGGCCTTCAACATCGGTAACTACGTGGTGCGGGTCAAAATCGGAACCCCCGGTCAACTCATGTTCATGGTCCTGGACACCAGCACAGACGAGGCCTTCGTCCCATGCTCCGATTGCACGGGCTGCTCCAACACCACTTTCTCGCCCAAAGTCTCCACCAGTTTCGGCCCATTGGACTGTTCCGTTCCGCAATGCGGTCAGGTCCGCGGGCTTTCGTGCCCCGCCATAGGATCCGGCGCGTGTTCCTTCAACCAATCGTACGCAGATTCATCTTTCTCCGCCACGCTCGTCCAAGACTCGCTCAGATTAGCCACTGTTATTATTCCCAAATACTCTTTCGGGTGCATTAATGCCATCTCCGGTGCCTCCATTCCGGCCCAAGGACTTTTGGGCTTGGGCCGTGGCCCATTATCGTTGGTTTCCCAATCCGGGTCTCTCTACTCCGGTGTCTTTTCTTACTGTCTTCCCAGCTTCAAATCCTACTACTTTTCCGGGTCGCTTAAACTCGGACCCGTGGGTCAACCCAAGAGCATTCGGACCACCCCGCTTTTGCGCAACCCGCACCGGCCTTCTCTGTATTACGTGAATTTCACCGGAATCAGCGTGGGGCGTGTACTCGTGCCCGTGCCCAGCGAGTATCTAGCTTTCGACCCGAATACCGGATCCGGAACTATCATCGATTCGGGCACTGTTATAACCCGGTTCGTGGAACCCGTTTACAGCGCAGTGAGGGAGGAGTTCAGAAAACAGGTGACAGGGCCGTTCTCGAGCATTGGAGCATTCGACACGTGTTTTGTGAAGACGTATGAAACGTTGGCACCAGAAATTACGCTTCACTTCACGGGGTTGGACCTGAAGCTGCCATTGGAGAATAGCTTGATTCATAGCAGCGCAGGGTCGCTGGCTTGCCTTGCAATGGCGGCGGCGCCGAACAATGTGAACTCGGTGTTGAACGTGATTGCCAACTTTCAGCAACAGAACCTTAGGATTTTGTTTGATACGGTGAATAATAAGGTTGGCATAGCCCGTGAGGTTTGCAACTAGTAGCTAGTTATTTTTTGCTTTATTGTAAGTGGTTCTCTTGATTTATTAGCCAGCTAGTTTTGGTTGTTTCGTCGTGTTCAAAAAATGGGTGTGGCCACGCTGAATAAGCTTCCCTTCCGAAGATATTCAATTTGAAATACATTATTGTATCTTCAGGTTGATCGTAACCTCAAAGGGGGACCGATCATTGTATTGATACTTGATTAAATTAATGTAAGAGGATGGATGTTTTTAGTTTGGTTATTTTAACGCCAACTCGTGCTATCATTTCTTTTTTGGAATTTTTTAGTTTATGCACGGAAATCAAGCACAGTGATCCACCTTTTTATGTTTTGGAATTTAGAACATGTGATTGCGACCAAGGTGCCAAATAAAGTACTATGAGTAACCAGTAATTATTAGCTCATTAAATATTTTAACATTTCTTTTTTATATATATATTATATTTTACCGTGTATCTAAGTACATGTTAAAAAAATTAAAGTAATAAGTTTTTAAAATAAATTATAATATTTAATATTATTTAATAAACTAATAAATATAAATTAAATAAAAAATTTAGACGAGTATAAATATTTTACCATCAATGTTTTAAATTATTAATATTTGCTAGTGTCTTCAAAATTTAATAGGTTTAAACATGTTTACGAGGAAGATTAATAAAAAAATTTACAAGTGTCCATTAAATAGCCATATAAGTATTTGACATACCTTTTATAATTTCTTAAAATAATTATTTTAGAATTTAAAATTATATTAAAATCCTGTTGGGTGAAATTCATTAATTACTATATATTAGGACCAGTTTGCTGCAAGTTTTTTAACCTAATACTTTTTCATGCTCGGTCTATAATCATCAAATCCATCGTCCATGGTCATTGAAATTTCAGTTTTATTTTCAATTTTCTTAAGTCAGTGTATGTTCATTTTAATAAGTTCACGGTGCCCTGTTACAGGTTAATAATCCCTCACTAATTCTAGGGAATTTTCTCTATTTTAAAATAAAATCCACTTATCCTTTTTCTATAAATTATTGTTCCATCAGCCACAAATATAATCTTTCTACAACTGCGGATGATTTTGAGTTTATAATTAGGAGCTGAAAAAGTGATGTAGTGTCATATATAATGAGTATACACATTAAATTCAATCCACCATAATTGTTTCGGGAGTGGGAGCTTATATGTTATTGCAGCGACGTCAAGCATGTTCAACAAGAGCTAAAGGATTCAATTAAAAGCATGAATTAATGTTGAGGATACCAACTCGTCTTCAATAAATTTTCAAAAAAAAAAAAAAAAAAGACTTAGGGGCTGTTTGTTTCCCCTTCTTAAAAAGAGTTTTCAATTTTTAAAATTTAAAAACTTCAAAACTTGTTTGTTAATTTAAATTTTAAAAATTATTTTTAAAAACAAGTTTTTATTTTCAATTTTTAAAACTAAAATACATAATAGTTTTTAAGGTGTTTTCGTTTTTAAATTTTGATTTCTCTTTCCAAAATTTGCAAGATGCAGAAAAGTTGTTTCTTATTAATGGCATTCTTGTAAATAAATTAATAAAATAAAAAATGTAAATAGAATAGATTAGAGTTTCACAGCATTCTCACATTTCTGTGACACCGACAACTTTTCACCATCTTCATAACATTCTCACGTCTTCCCGGCAAACAACAACAACTTTACAACTTTATCACCTTCTCAACACTCTTAAACCATCACCATTGTTTTTTCTTAGGTTTTTTCCTTTTCTCATCTTGGATTTTTTTTACCATTTTTTATTTTGATTTTTATTTAGATTTATATTCTTCCTCACAAGCATCAACATATTTGGGGAAAAAAACTCATGTTTGGTTCTTCTCTTCTTGCATTTTTTTTCTCTTTTTCTGAATGTTTGATTGAAGTTTGAAGATAACGAGATAAAGGTAGTGTTTGAAAATGATGTGCTATCAATAATTAAGTATTTTTAAAATTTTAACATTTGTATGAGTATGTTTAGTATTGTCGACATTCCTTTAATTTTTTCAATCATATTAAATGTGTTGTTAGCATAGCCAAATTTGGTCAGCATAGCAAAATTTTGAACTTTTATATTATATTGATTGAACAAGAGAGTGTAAGATATTATATTGAGATTTGGTTAATGCTATCTGAGTAATACTGACAATGAGAAAGAGCACTCTGAAACTAGTAGGATCAGGGTAAGGGAGGAATATAATCCAAGCTGATGAGCTCAATCATAAACTGCATATCAACTTTGAATTTGATCTCTAGTTATGATAAAATTCTTTCCTTTTACAAATTTAGTTCTTTCTTCCCAAAATTTTCACTGTATCTTATGATGTATTTGTTGTAATTACTATCTTATTCCATTTGATGAGTTTTTTACCTTTGTATAGCCGTTTAAAGTTGTCAAAGACTAAATAAATGTTACAAGAAATACAATTATAGAAGTGAAATACAACTCTGCTTTTTTTCTGTAACTTTTAACAGTTTAAAATTAAGACAGTTTTAAATTCATAATTTATGAAACTCTTTGCATTGGAAGTATTACTTTAATATAATATTAAATTTTAATGTTTTAATAATTTTTTAATTTAATATTTCCTTTTAAATATAAAAAATATATTTAATTAAATAAAAAATACTAAAATTAAATATCAAATATATATAATTTAAAATACTAAATAATAAATAAATAAAATCAAACATATTTTCTTTTTTTAGTTTTTAAAAATAAATTTATCAAACAAGTTTTCTTATTTTCTCATCTTAAAAACAGTTTTATAAAATTGTTTTAAAATGTAATTTTTAAAAATTGAAAAGCAAAACTAAATCAAACAACCCCTTAGGGTTAAACTTTATCAATTTTGCAAATTATCTTGTGATTGTTTTATAATTTTGAACTCTTAAAAAAAATCATCAAAATAGCATATAGTACAAATTAAATAAGGACATAATCATAAAACTTTACTAATTAATATTTCATTTTTTCATAGAGTTCTTTATTATTCTATTTAATAAATTAATATAATTCTTCATCTATTTATGATACTATGTATTTATAAAACTTGTGATGTTTCTTATATAAATAATATGATTAGTAATAATAAAATTTAAATACATTATTATTAATGAAGTATTAAATTAAAAAGAATTAAAAATAAAAAAAAATCATATAACAATTCTAATAAAAAATTTATTATTATATGGATCTACTATATACCTAACTTGGATCAACTAATAGAAATTGTTTTCTTTACTTGTGAATAACATAATATGCAGTTGTAATAAATGTTTGAAAGGTAAACTTTGTGACTAGAGTAATCTACCCAGCTCAAAAAGACTATCTCTACTCAAAGATATGGCCTTACTACCGACCAAAACTAAAGAAAACCAGGAATCGCCCTTCTTCTATGTCATATCTTTTACATGATTCACTCATATCCAATTAACCCTCCTTCAACACACACCTCCATTGCAAACATTACTGTGATCGTCATTGAAATTGATTTTCACGGTCCCCTTCCAAATTGCCATCCACACTTTTACAAATGACCATAAAACAACACAACAAACATACACAAAAGTATGACCTACAATATAAAGAATACAAAAATAGAATCAACAGAAATTAATTTGAGTAAGAAATAGTTCTATATCGCTTAAGTAAAATCTTAAGTTTGAATTTTTGTATATGTAAAAAAATTTCAATAATAAAACCACCTATCACATTCAGTCACTCAAATTAGATTCAGATTAAATTAAATAGAAAAAAAAAACACAAAATAAAAATTGATCAACAAAAATTGCTTAGTAAATCCATTCTCAGTCTCTCTGTCGCACTAAAACCTCTTCTCTTTGTAACACCTTTCTCTTCGTCTACATATATACACATACATGAATTAAGATCCTCTCATTTTTTTACGCGAACATAACCTTTATGTTCCGTGTTAAGCTAAAATGAAAAAACACAAAATATGAGGGTCATGTGACGGAAAAGAATCATGATTTCGCTGCATGCATGTATGCAGTACGTTAACTCAACACACACGCACACCATTCTGTTTCCCTCTAATCCCACCATTTGTGCACAGCAAGGCCTTCATCCCTTAACATCCCATACAATGCCAAACGTTCCCAATAAGCCCTTCGACTTCTATTCCTTTTGTTCCCTTGTTTTGGCTTGCATTCCAAGAAAAACTCATCCACTAGCCCAATGGAATTACCCCTCATCAACCACTTCAGCCTCAGCTTTCATCATCACATACTCTTCATCCTTCACATTCTTCCTCAACCAATCAGACATCCCTATTTGTGATACCTCTTTCCCTGAAGACTCCTCTGTCACCGTCTCAATCTTATATATCTCAAAACTATTGTTCCTCGTTGGGTAATTCTTCCGAAACCAATCGGTTCCACTCCCTCCTTCTTTCTCTGGCAACCCCACGTCGATGAAAACACGACGAGGGTAGCTTTCGAGAGAATCACCCATTAAATCTGGTAGGTAGCGCGTGCGCTCCAAAAGCACGTCCTCTAGTTTCTCCAACGCTGCCTTTTTGGCCTCTGATGAGTAACCACATAGCTTCCTCGGCGCAGCGAAGCTGAGTTCGTTATCAGCAACAGCTTCACCGTTTTCTTCATAGCCACCGCGACCGCGTCATATCTCCTCATTTACACGATTTTTTAATAATGGATTTTGTGTAACTAATGTATAGTCAGTATATGGTATTTATTTATAAATACCTCAATAGTATTCTTTTCATTTAATAATTTTTATTTTTCTCTTATTATGACGTTACATTAATTGTTATATCATCAATTTTTTTTCTTTTCTTTTATATCTTTTTAAGGGTAAATACACCTAATGAAACTAATAATTTTTAGAGTAGATTGATAGTGCGTTTTATGTATTTTTAGAATAATTGTTATTATTAATATCATATAAATATGTATAATAGATAGTAGAATTAGTAGTTATTATAAAAAGATATAAATATTTTTTAATTTTTAAGATATTAAAACAATTATTATTATTGATTCAAGAAAGGTATCAAGTTTATGTGCAAATGCCAATAAAATCATTTACAACTATTTTCGTTCAGCATATCCACATGACGGACAAACCATTTTTTGTTGGTATGCGCTATAGCCTCTTCAAAATTCAATGGGTTAGCATATTTATGATGAAGATTAATAAAAAAAAAAAACCCTCCGGAGTATAAATTAAATAGCCATGTTATTATTTGACATACTTTTAAATAATTATTATAGAATTTAAAATTATATTAAAATCCTGTTGGGTGAAATTCATAAAACTAATTAATATATATTAGGACCAGTTTGCTGCAAGTTTTAACGTAATATCTTTTTCATGCTCAGTCTTTAATCACCAAATCCCTCGTCCATGGTAATTAATTTAAATTTAAATTTTATTTTCAATTTTCGTAAGTCTGCGTGTTTTCATTTTAATAAGTTCACGGTGTTATTTGATAACTTGATGGCCCAGAAATATGTGAATTTTCTTACAAATTAAGAAAAGATGGAGATGAGAAATTTATGTCTCTCACTTTTTCTAGGGAATTTTCTCTATTTACAATAAAATCCACAAATTTATCTCATGTTAATATATTCAGCAAGATATCTATTTATGATGCTATGTATTTATAAAACTTGTGATGTTTCTTATATTAATATGATTAATTAGTAATGGTAAAATTTAAATACATTATTATTAATGAAATATTAAATTGAAAATAACTAAGAAATAGAAAAATCATATAAGAATTCAAATAAAAGAATCTTATCGTTATATATATTGGATGACTATGATCTGAACAGTGACAAAAACTAAAGAATGAAAAAAAAAAAAAAAAAAAAGGGAAAGCAGGGATCGCCCTTCTTGTATGTCATATCTTTTACATATCCAATTAACCCTCCTTCAACATACATACCTCCGTTGGTGCATTATTGTGATGGTCATTGAAATTAATTTTCACAGTCCCCTTCCAAATTGCTATCCACACTTTTACCAACGACCATAACACAACACAACTTCTCAGACACAATCTGCTAAACGTACACGGAATTGTGACCGACAATATAAAGAACACAAAATGAAAATTGATCAAGAAGAAGTCCTTAGCGAATCCACTCTCGGTCTCTCTATCGCTCTGAAACCTCAACTCTTTGTAACACCCTTTTTCTCTTCATCTACTTATACACACACACACACACATGCATGCATGCAGTACGTTAACTCAACACACACGTACACCATTGTATTTCTTTCTAACCCCACCATTGGTGCACAGCAACACCTTCATCCCTTAACATCCCATACAATGCCAAACATTCCCAATAAGCCCTTCGACTTCTATTCCTTTTGTTCCCTTGTTTTGGCTTGCATTCCAAGAAAAGCTCATCCACTAGCCCAATGGAATTACCCCTCATAATCTCATCAACCACTTCAGCCTCAGCTTTCATCACCACATACTCTTCATCCTTCACATTCTTCCTCAACCAATCAGACATTCCTATTTGTGACACCTCTTTCCCTGAAGATTCCTCTGTCTCCGTCTCAATCTTATATATCTCAAAATTCTTTTTCCTCGTTGGGTAATTCTTCCGAAACCAATCGGTTCCACTCCCTCCTTCTTTCTCTGGCAACCCCACGTCGATGAAAATATGACGAGGGTAGCTTTCGAGAGAATCACCCATCAAATCTGGTAAGTAGCGCGTGCGCTTCAAATATTTTCGTGATTTCCCTGATGCTGCTCTTGGTGGCTCCAAAAGCACGTCCTCTAGTTTCTCCAACGCTGCTTTTTTGGCCTCTGATGAGTAACCACATAACTTCCTCGGCGCAGCCAAGTTGAGGCCTTCATTGCTTAGCAATTGTGCTTTTTGTTGCTTTTTATTCATGACGTCTTCGTTGGTTAAGTCAGGAAATAAATTTGAGAAAACCTGGTTGGTGTTCGTAGAATCGTAGTTGATGTGATCAAAAGAATTAGGCATGGCTTGGTGGGAGGAAGAGATTTTTTCAAGCAAGGTTAATCCCATTATGAATGGTAAAGAAGTTAAGGCCAATGCCAAAAGCAATAATCCAAAACACATTTTGATGAATTTGGAATTGGGAAGCCTAATGAGGAGATAGCGAGCTTCTGAGTAAAGAGTAAGTGGGCAATCGGGTTTGCTTTTCTTATTGCAATTACGTTTTGCTTTCAAGGTAGCATCAATGAGATCGATTGCCATGCTTGTAGGAAGTTAAGAAAGAGATCGAAAGGTTAATCTTAAGAATGACGTGAGTGTGTAGAAACTATAAAGTAATTAGGTAGAATAAGAAAATGATTGTGACGGGTGGTAAATTAAGGTATAGAGAGAAGAGAGAACAACGAGAGGCAAAATGGAACTTAGCGAGTGCTAAATCTTGCGGCGGTGTGGTTTCCACCCACAAGGGCAACACGGTTATTTTGCAATGTTGACCAAAGTGTCATCAACTCCCTCATCCTCTGCACCTCCATTGTTTGAATTTACGCCCCAGATCGATGATGGTTTTTGATTAATGGCTGCCAATTCTCCCTTTAATTCAGAGCTCTCTATGTTAGCGACATGTTTGGGACAACATAGCGCTCACAACCCTTTTCATTGATCACGAATGCATGGAGGGTGGGGAGAGGAGGGGAGAGTGATTTTCTCAGCTTTTGTGCAATCTAGCTTTTTGGTTTTCAGGGACTCTAATTTGGTGGGATGAAAGGTGCTACATGGAGGGGTTATAATATGGGAGAGAGTTAGTGGATTAAATTACAACCCTAAATTTGTCTCATGGAAAAAAAAAAACTGTTGGTGCCACGAAAATTGAGTTGCACCGTTCGCTATTTGCTGTGATAAGTTCATTCTCTTTCAATTTTATCCCTTTCAGAAGTTTTACATTTTTTTTTCCATTTGCATGGTAATGGTATGAGGTGTGGAATTGATCATGGACATGTAGATTTGCGTTGGCATTCCGTAATTGCTTTGCTTTGCTGTTTTTAATCTCAAAATGTTATTCTATAAATGGGTATTGAGGACAGATATTAGTAATTTTACAGATTGCATGTGTCTTTCACTTCTACATCAAATTTGGTCAAATTTGTAAATTACTTTATGGATATATCCCTTGTAAATTAGTAAGTTTATCCTTGCAATCAACTCTAAATTTATGTAGTATTAATTATTCTTATAAATATTTTGGTCAATTGCTTACGTTTCCTTATGATAATATGAAAATAATACAATTATAATTTACATACATACAAATAAGAAAATTGCACAATAAATTAAAATGTACAGAAACCTCATATTATTCCTTAAATTACAATTTATATAGGACAACTACAATTAAATAAAAAAAATAACTTAGCTAGTATTCCATCCATAGATACTCTACGAAGAAAATCTATGGGAAAAATCATATAGTATATAAAATCTGATAGTATATAGAAAGATTTAAGACTTTCATCCCAATCGTCATCTTCTTATAATATAATTATATATTTCAGTTGCATTAATCAAGCCTTATCACAAAAGAAATATTCTATGCTTTTAACTCAAACAAGGCTCGTATATAACAAATGAATAAAATTATATTTAAAATAAAATATTAATTTATATTTTTCATAACAATTTTTACAATATTATTTTTCTTCATATTTCTATTTATCACATTGATTATTTTATTTCATAGTTTTCTCTTTTCTCTTTATTTTATAACAAATTATACAAATACAATTTCTCTAAAATGTTGGTTGCATGTATAAGGTGATCTCAAAACAACCGATCGTCCATCATTTTAGAACCTTTGGATATAATTATTTTGTATTCAATAGAAGAAATTAATTGCAAATTACCTATCAAAGTTACCGGAGCATGGTGGTCCAAATATATTTTTACAAATGTGATCATAATAATAATATTATTGATGACGATAATGACAAAAATTAGAAGAGTAATTATTTAAAGTGAGATTACTCTTCTAATTTTTGTCATTATCGTCATCAATAATATATACACATAACCATTCATCTTCACTCATCAAAGCCAAAAACACTTTTAAAAAGTGCTTTCACAAACACAACGATTTTCATTCAATATGAGATGAGTCTCAAAGGCTTCTTCGAAGGTGGTGTTGCCTCCCTAGTTGCAGTGTGCATCCACTCGACCTAATCAAAGTTCGCATGCAACTGCAAGGAGTAAAAACTCTCACTCTTCCAACGCACAATCTCCGTCCAGCTTTCGCCTTTCACACGCATTCCCCAAAGGTGGATGATCGTGACGGCTTCACAGTTAGCTTCGTAAGGAAACGATTATAGGGAAGGGGGGGATGAAGGATGGCCTTGGAATACACGTGGCGGCGATTTTTGCGGCGGGGTTTGTGGCGGCGGTTGCGTCTGTGATAAAGACAAGGGTTATGAATATGAAGGTGGAGATTGGGGAGAGGCCTGCTTATAATGGGGGCTTTGGACTGTGCTTTTAAGACTGTTAGGGCTGAAGCTCCTTTTGCCCTTTACAAGGGTTTCGTCCCTACAATTTCAAGGCAGGGTCCTTTCACGGTTGTTCTTTTTGTCACCTTTGAACAGGGCAGAAAGCTGCTCAGGGAATTTTGATTTATCCATCCCCTTCACTTATATCACTCATTCTTTGGTTCATATGTTTGGATCATGCCCAATACTATTAGTATTATTACCTTAATGCAAACATCCAACAGGCATATTCCAATTGAGTTTTATTATTTAAATTACTAAAAGTTCATGCTGTATATAATTATTTTTATTTCATATTTTTATATAAATTTATTTTTAAAAAATACACTTTAAAATACTAAGTCCCATTTGAGGTGTTGAAAATACATTTCTCTAGTCCAATTATATGTTAATGAGTTACGACTTTAAGACACTTGCTAGTTATTAGTCTCTTTTTTATGTGGTTTTTCTAAAACGAATTTATTTATATTAACCATATTTGTGTCAAGTACCTATACCTACATACTATCCACATTGAACATTTTACGGAATATCCGATACTACCAAGTTAGCAACCAGTTAGCCACTCACCAAATTGGGCAAGTCATAACTCTTTCTGCTCAACATTTAGAAACGAAAGTATTATCTGCTTAAAAGTTTTATGGGCATTTATTTTTCTTTTATTTTTGTAGAGTCATGGAACTTTAAGTTCCATTCAGATTAAGAGACCCCTGAATCTGATTATGGGTAGACATAATGAGATTAGTTATTAAATTTTTGCTAGAACAACGGAATGTGGACCAAGGTTATGTGCCTATTGCTTTGCCAGCTTATGGCAAACAACTCAATGTTATTGCCGCTACAAATACGTTAAATGTAATTGCAAATCATCATGCTGTTGTTCACTGAGCTAGTAAAAATCAGCATGTAAAGGTTACAAAAGGTTCGGCCTATGTCATGAGGATGGTTGAACTATGCCTTGCAAATCCTGCTTTTTGGTGTAAATGGAATGCTTCTCTCGTTTGAATATGAGCTCTAGTGCCAACCTTATCAAAGAAGGATTCTTCTCATTGTATTACATAAACCACACAAAACAATGTTGAAAGACACAAGCAATGCCCCAGTTGAACAAGAAAAACATTGACTGGATCTGGATTTTGTTCTATAACAGAAGACTCGCCTCGTAATCACCGACCTTTATCCACATTAAAAGTCTGATGACCTTCTGATCTTCCTCTTTCCAAATGTTTTGGTTGCTGATTCCATCCATCTGTGTGGTGGCTTGGGTGGCTATCTGATTTCCTCAATTTGTCTGAACTTTGATGTGATTTACCTTTGCTCGATCCTTTATCTGAAATCTGCAGTGACTGAGAATTGTCCGAGCCTCTAACTCTTTCTGGGTTTGGGACAGAATGATGAGCTTCAGACCCTCCATATCTATGAGGGGATGGAAGTGCTTGAGGACGGTCATGTCCTTTTCCTTTTTCCACGTTGTGTGCAGAGCGACTTGACTCTCGGCCTTTATCCATATTTTGGAGTTCGTTTGCAATCTGATTTCGGCTCACCTTCAAAAAGTTCAGTCTGGATGTCAGTTTTGTCATTGCAGAAGGAGTGAAATTTGCTCCCTGTTGTGAAAGCATTTGAATAAATAAGTCTATCTAGTCGACTAGTCCTATCAATTTTCAATATCAAGGTTTTTCCACTGAAATACGCGAGAAATTAGTTACCAAGCTAACAAGTAGTTTACTATCTTCCATAAAAATTCAAAATTTACCTTGCTAGGTAACTAGTTTGATTGCTTCGTCCCAATACTAAGCAATGTTATAAAAGTGACAATGATGCAACGAAGAATGAGGATAGGAGGAATAACGTGGATAAAGTAATTAAGACATTGTTTATGGAAAATGTTAGATAGCAAAATTAATTTGACAAAATAGGAGCTTGAAACTTGAAAGACTTGGGCATTTTATTGACTTTTGGACGGATGAGTACTATTTGTATTTGGTAATAGTTCTGATTCTACAATTTAAAGAAAATGCTGATTTATGTCTAGATTCATAGCCAAGTTTATGAAACCTACCTCACCCTTTGTACTAGATTTCTTGGAGCTAGTTGGTGGATGTTTGTTTGATGTAGGTGCTGGCTCTGGCTTTCTCTCAGTATCACTTTCTGCTCCACCAATATGAGTGTCCTGTTGTAATTACCAAATACCCATGGTTTAAGAAATGATAATTTTCAAGTTACTGTCACCCTTTTCAGCAAATATGCTTATTTTCTTCTATATAGCCACATAAGAAAATTATTGGAGTCAAGTGTGAATTAGTCTCACATGAAATGAGATATGGGCAAGTTAGGGGTCTATAAGGAAATGGACTCATTCACCCATTGCCTTAAGGTTTTGGAATTGCATTGTGGTGTGCTACCTAAAACTCCCCTACTCCAACAAAAATAAATGATTATTCACTTTGGCTTTTAACCAAGCAAAGCTTGAGAGTTAACAGCTTGAGGAATTATGCAATTTATTTTTCTAGCAAGCAAGTACAAACTGAAATATGTTTGGGAGAAAATAAAGTTCTATAGGATTCTTATAAGTAATCATTATGCTTTATTGACTTCAAATTTCTTGATCTGTAGGCTCTATGCAGGCACCATAGGCTCTTCTTTTATATTAATATGTTCTTTGCTTTAAAACTCACTCAAATCTTCTTTTGTCTATCTGCTAACATATGGATCAAGTAAAAATCAAATGATTATTATAAAAGTAGAAAGAAGGATAGAGGATCGATAGCCCTTACAAAATATATTTTCAAAGTTTTATGACAAGGGATAATGGGAAAATTTGAGTGCCATTGTCTATCTTCGTTCCTTAACTTATTCAACCATCAAAGGTGTATCTTTTTTGTTATTTTTTTATAAAATTTATTCACTGGAGACACTATAAGGGGTATTGGTTTCTTATAATAGTATAGATTGAGAATAAATTTATTTAGCCTTTTTTTAAAAAGCAATGCAATCATATACTTAAACGATGGGACTATGATTTATGGTCTCTCCTTGCAATTTTGCTCTTAAAGTTGACATTTATACCTTGTGGCAGAGACTAAGGAATAAATCCTTTATTGCTACTATAATGATTTACCTTACTTATTGACCTGTCAGTTTGTGATATGGCAGGAACTTCAGTATCTGCCTTGTTTTTCCTGTTACAAATATTCCCCATGAAGAAAGTCAAATTTAATTGTCCATACAATTTCCTTCGAAAAAGAAAACAGTCCAGTGCCAAAAAGACTTCTACTCAGACTTGGAAGAATTATTGTGAACAAAAATTTTCTATGAACACTGAAGCCAATAGAAGATCAAGATTGTGAAAATATGAACAAAAAATAATGTAATCACAAGCATATAGGTAACGATAAACATACGATTTTCTCTCTTTATTTGATATCTGTCGCGGTAGATTAGAGATTTCCAAACTGGATCCATAATTTCGCTCAAGTTGTGCATTAAGCCTGACTCCAAGCTCCTCAACCTTCCACTCTAAGTTAGCAAGGTCTGCTTCTACCAGAGCTAATTCCTCAAGCCCTGCCTTGTTCTGTATAAGATTTGAATATTATGAATTAGTTGTTTGATCAAAACACATTATTAACCTTCTTTGAGTGAATTTGACTAGTCATTTCATCAATATTGAGTAAATTAAAAACTAGAGTTCTACCTCAAGAGCTATCCGAGAATTCTTTTCCTTGTTCAACTGCTCCTGTAGTCTAGCCACCTGTGAAAAGAAATTTTAGAAAACAATCTCAATTTATTTACAAGAAGAAAGAGGGAAGCTTCCCTCATAATGAACAATAACATACATCTTGCTCTAGAGCCAGACGACGTTCTTCCAAGGCTTTCTTTCGGTTATCCATATGGGATTGCAACTTTGCATTTGCCTTCACCTACAACAGCAAGCAAAACTGATCAATTGACTTCAAATAATTTTAACTTACATCTAAGCTATGTAATCCAGAAAGGAAATCAATAGCATACTTCATCTGCGATTTGAGTTTGTAATTCTGCCCTAGCAGCTTCAAGCCTTTCAATCTCATCTCTATGGCCAGAAACATAAATTAGTGGACAGAGAAACATGAAGAAACTAACAGGCATGCCAACTCTTAATCTTAAGTATATGCTCCACATCGAATCAACACATACACAGAAAGGTCTGGTCAACATTTAGAACCACTAAGATATGTTTCTTCTGAATTTGTAGTTAAGTGGCTATAAACATTTTTGAAAAATTATGGACAGGGTCACTCTGACAGAAAAGGTTTGGATGTCAATGATGGAAAGATAGTGCACCCGAAGGAAGAAAGTCTATCTTGCTTGATTAATTTTCCCTAGTTCTTAAGAAAGAAAGGAAATTGATGGGCTTTGATATTTATCTTACTGAAACTATGCGTATAATTTTATACTCTTGCTAACTTAATTTCAAACATACAAATCTATAAAGCATTTCTTCTGGATTCTGGATCCTTCAATTGGGTATTAACTATTTTTCATGTCATGTATTATGTTGTTTTGACATTTCTTTCTTTCATAAAGCTTTCTATCCATATGACACATTAACATCATAGATGATATCTATGTTCCTCTAGGAAGTGACTTGCATACTAAGAGTACTACTATCAAAAGTTGAGATGTACTATTTAATTGTGATCCAATGGCATTGGCATGTCTGATTATTTTGTTGTGTGGGGTGCTTTAAAGGGTTGAAGTGAGTATTCTGAATACACATACTTTACAAATTGGATTACAGGTTTTGCAGTTTATCTCTCAGATATATCATGCTTTGATTCAATCACAAAAACTAATTTACATTTGTAGTCCAAATTTTCCTAGGATAAGAGTATCAAGAAACACAACTAAATTGGCAACAAATGATTTAAAGTAGGAACTACAATATTGCAAATTTTCAAGTTTACAACTAGTGGCTAGAGCAAGAGAATAACATACAGTTGATAGATGTCAATTACTTACTCATCATCGACAGAATAATCTATGGATTCCATGGAAAGATTCTTCCTTGCCTGAGGCAGAATACAAAAGAAGAGATAAAACCTCAGACTAATTAGTACAAAGGCAATTTCACTCCCAAAGAAACTAAATGGAAAAAAAAAATTAATAGCAAAAGCTTTAACCAATTTAAAGCAAGTGACAAAGATGTAACTGACAAGGTAAAAATTCCATCATTAATTTTGAAAAGAATTACTCACAGAGACTCGCCCCAACATGGTGCGGTGCCGAGGTGCTGGCCCATTGGACATGGTATTCGATTTTTTGATACATAAAGGACTAGGAGAATTTGAATTATGCAATTTAACCTGGTCAGTGGACACTCCAACTATACCAGCAGGCTTATTGGACTGATCTGCATGAGCAGTCTTATTTGGACTTGTGAGATTTTCAGATTTTTTTTTTATATCTTCGGGTTGATTCAGTGAACCTTCAAGTGACTTTGATGATAATTTTTTTTCGGCTTTCAATTCTTCACTAGCACTTGAAGATTTTGAACTAGAACTAGCATGATCATGGTCCTGTCCATTAGAAGAAAAAAAAAAAGTGAGAATTTTCACTCTTCCTCTCTCCTCCCAGTCCCCCACCTCCAGGTTGCAGTGATTGCAGCAACGTAAATAACTATCTTAGAGGAAAAAGTGTAAGGATGATCAGACTAAATTGATGGACAACATCAACTTACATAATTAGTTTGAATAATAATTCAAGTTATTGGAGCATTTTTAGAGCTGGGGCAGGGGAATAGCTTGTTCGACAATACAAAGGGTAAAGTGAAAAACCAAGATTAGTTGGAGATAAGAAGTGAACAACTGAACGAAGAAAAGGCTGCAAGATTAAAGGCAAAATAATTACAGTACCATGTTTAACCTGGGGGGACTACTTAGCTTATCTTCTAGGAATTAAGATGTTTGGTGCTATTTTATGCATATGAAATATATATATAGGGAAAAATCGAATTACACCGGTGCAAGTTACACTTACTGTTACACTATTTAATAACTTTTTGTTGGATAATTTAATCCTAAAACTAACCATTAGATTAAAAGTTCCAATTACATAGATCACACATGCAAAATTTGAGATTGATTCAAAATTATTTAATTCATTATTCATATATATCAAAATTAACGTAATATATACTTTTGAAATTAACAATTAAAGATTTGATTTTGACAAAATTTGACACAAATAATCTAGTTAATATAATTATAATTCAACAGTTGGACTTGGATTGATGAAAATTATTTTATATATTAAGTTATTAACATTGTAAGAGTAAGACTAATTTACACCGATGTAATTTGAATCCTCCCAGTATATATGTGTGTGTGAAAAATTAATGATAACTCTACCACTTAGAGTCTAACTAAAGATTTTCTTGAATGAAATAGTGTCAGATAGCAAGAGAAGGCCTGACAGAATTACGTGTGAACACTCTTTCTATCCTTAAGACAGGCTTACATTTTTTTTAAATGGATTTTATAATTTACTTCCCTAAATTAAATTTGTTCCTATGAAATGAAATGGATATTCTTTAATGAAAAACCTATTTATTATAATTGCACCAAATTGTCATAAAATAAATAAATCAGGTATGAACCTCATCGTCGCCTGCATCATCAGCCTCAGATTCTCCAGTTTCACTGTACGATTCGCTAACAAGATCATCATCTGCTTCTGCATCAGACTCCTGTACTGATTCATCTTGTTCATCGTCATCATCATAATCATCATCATCATCCTCGTAGGACAAATCATCATCAGTAGCTTCCTCACTCTCAGATCCACTCTCTTCTTCTGAGTCAGTGTATATATCAGGGGACACAGAACCTTCCTGCTAGAACACTATTACTTAGACATCTATAGAGACAACAATGAATAACAATAACAACCAAGGCTTATTACATTAGGTGGAATCAGTTACATGTATTCATTAACACCACTGGGCTCTATTGGAAAAACAGTGGTACAGAAAATAAAAAATATAATATGAAGATCAAACATGTAATTAATCAGATAGGGGCAAAGAGTCATCTCATACCACTTGATGCTAGTTTGACATTGAAAACCATCCATTTATATACTTACAAAAAAATATTTAGATTTCACATGCAGCTGATCATGTCTTCTATCATGAAAAGGAATTCAATCGTTAAGGAAGTAATGCACTCCCTATAATTATTTAGAAAAGAAAGTGAGTTGTACTAGAGGTAGGTAAGATTTAACATATCAGCACAAAACATCTGCAGCTTATGAATGACTAGAGTCTAATAGATGCATGCAACATGGTTTCATACTATATATATGGAAGCCATGCAAAAAGGAATAGTGAGATATAATTACCCCAAATATGTTGTTATATTCTTCTAATAAAGTTATAACAATTGCTTGAGCATGGTTCGCTGCAGCAGCTGCTTGTAAAAGTTGAACAGAACCATCACCACCTACATCAAAATCATTGTCAATCTCACATTCTCCAGCCAGAAGGGGGCGAAGAAGTAAAGGTGCCATGCAAGCTGCCACAGCTGAGGAGCTCATTCTATTAACAGCTTTGCGTGAAGCCACAGCTTGCATCATTGTGAGTATTCTGTACAAGAATGAAATGAAATCAGTAATTTGCAACACCAAAACATGATCTAAAAAATAGAAAATTGACAAAAAAAAGTACTGTTTCTCTTACCCAATTGTGTAACTGGAAGTGTAACAAATGACCTATACCCATTTATCATACAATATTCAATCACAAGTTACTTCAAGGAGACATTGTCAGTACTACTGAAAAGTATGCCGTATATGAGCTTATTTACTGGTAGCTGATTCTTTGGTAATATTGAGTATTCAATGTGGTATCGATAAAAGATGCTTATAGATCACTTGTTAAACCTTAGTGATCATATTTTATTAGTTATTTAGCCTTACAAACAAAAAAACTCTGCCTATGTCATACTTTGTCGCAAATCAGTACATAACCAGTCCTAAGCTCAAATAAAAGGCAAGGGTTGTGTTAAACAATTGACATTCAACAATAACTTAGACAAATCCCTGACATGGACAGACATTGTGATTGTGTTTTTGACAGGACACAATGGCATCATTACTCCCACCTTATAGAAAAAAACTTTCATTATTCCAAAAGAAAAATCTATTTTTCATTATAAAATCTGTAACTTATTCGTATTTTCATGGTTCACTTCCACATTTTGAGCCATTAGGTAATCCAATATCTTGACCTGCTCACTTGAATTCACAGTTTTTGTTTTAATTGTTTCTCAAATCATAAACAATGAATTCAACATAGTAACCAATAGTAGATCCTAAATACAGGCATATCATGCATTCACAAATGACAAATCTAGGGATATCTTTGGCTCAACATAACTTTTGTAATGTAGTAGGTTCCTGAACACACAAGAGTATCCCAGACCCAAATCAACAATATATATTTCAGTTATTAAATTAACTATCCAAAGAATAAGAATATCCTTAAACCCTGAAATTCAACAAATAAAATAACAAACATAGTGATCAATAAGTTAATCCAATAGGAAAGATATGGGAAAAGGCAAAAGTAATCAATCAAATACCTTTGCAATAAGCGACGATTTGGTTCAGGGAAAGTGTCATTTATTGCTGCACGCATAGCAGCAACCCTATTCCCACGTTCAGTTCCTAATAGTGTGCCAATTTTGAACAATGAAATGCAATTAAACTTCAAGAGAAATCTATATTACTTGAAAAACAATTTGAAAACAATATGTAATCTTCAGTGCCAAAATTATCCCATTGTCTCTTTCTCTTGTAGCCCCAAATGGTAGTCAGTATGGCAAGAATCAATAAGAGACCAAAAAATTTCTCTTGGTGCAAAATGGTCAAGAGGTTTGAAATCTGCATAATCAACTGTTGAGTTTTGCAGAAATTTAATTTCATTATATTTATCTTTTATCTTCTATTCTCATATATCAAATATTAGTATTTAGTCATATGTGTTAAGAAACTTGGGTCTAATCAAAAGTTAGCTTATAAGAGAAGGATTACCTTATCTCTTATAAGAAGTACTTTGTTAATTCCTAACCAATGTAAAACATCTTAACACGGTCTAACACACATTTACATAGGTGGCTTAACAGGACTGGACATCTTTAGGTAGCTCAACGTTCAAACTAGATAGGCTCTGATACTATAATAAGAAACATGTATCTAACTCACTTCCAAAAATTAGTTCATAGGAGGACTATCCTATCCCTTATAAAGAGTATTTTGGCTCTATTTCTAACCAACGTGAAACATCTTAATAATATGTAACATTATAATGCAAAAATTTAAGTTGCTAAAACCAGAAAAAATTGTTCAAATTTGATCAAATTGTTCATGACTTAAAATTCAAATAAAGCTACTATGTTTAGACAATTAGTTCTTCAATATGTCCTAATACCAATTAATACTTCTTTTATTCTATTAATAGTTTATATTTTATACTTAATAATATTGTGAGATAATAAACAAGATGTATAGAGTATGTTCAACAACTTATTCAGGCATTGGATTTCCTCAAAATGAGGAAGAAAACGAAGATAAAACATAGGCAGTAGGATGGGAAGATAGCCAAACAGCAAAGTGCCTACAAGCATGATAAGACAACAACCACCTAGCATTATTCCACTAGGCAAGCATGATAAGACAACATGATAATAATGTTTGGAAGTCCAAAAAGAATAACGAGCACAGTTGTTAGAAGATATAGTAACCTATGATGCAATGGTATTCAACAACATAACTTGGAAGGCAGTGTTGCAAGGCTGCAGGAAGGGATTACTATTTAATTTTGTGTATCATTTACTTGTTTATTGACAAAGAATAAATAAAAAACCTAACTTTACTGCATCATCCAAAGTTAAAGCAAATATTAATCAGAAACACAAACAAGTTCTGACAACCAGTGTAAACTTCAATCACTAATGTCTTCAATTCTTGTGAAATCTTTCAGAGCAAGTGTAAGTGTTCAAAATCTAAACCTTCTTATCTCATGGTTTAGCTGCAAGTGAAGTGAAAAACCAAGTCATGAAATACACTACTGCTCCTTTTCAACAACTAGTTTACAAAACCAAGCTTCTTACTAGAAATAATAGATGTAAATTATCATAATTCAAATCAAATATTCCATTTAATATAAGATCTTTTCGTTTCTCCCTTTCAACTAATTGTCCAAATAGTATAAAACTTTCCATTAAAATTATTAGATTTCACATTCAAACATGTTATTATCAACTTCAATGAACCTTCGCATCTGACAACAATCATGGAAAATTAAGTTTACATAAAAGACATAAATAATAGGTAGCTTGATAAATATTATAAAATAACATATAGATGGAAAAACTAAAATGACACTTACGACAAGCTTCTAACAGTGCCTTACAACAAGATGCTGGAACTGGAGAGGATGGCAATTCCCGAAGCACATGCTGAAAATGTATGCAAATAAGAACATAAAATAATGTATGGTAAAGGAATCAACACTTCAATTCACCATGAAAATACCTTAACACAATCACCAACTACATGTGCATCCTCATCCGGAGAAAACTCAACTTTTCCTACAACCATATAACATACCCAAGACCATAAAACTTGATGAGTAATGTTGACAAAAAAAAAAAAAACAGTGGAAAGAAAAAATGTCTGCAATTGGAAAACTACAAAACTCCATCTTCTTCATCCATCTTATTTTGCTAGAAAAGCATGGCCAATGCAAATATTAAAGGAAATTTCATTGAATCCAAATACATGAATAATGTTCTATTCAACGTATACGATATGATAAGGAATTTTTTTTATAAGCAAAACTCCACATATTTCTCAATGTATTTGTATGGAAAATCCTGAAATACCATGGAAGCTCTTAATGGATAGATATGAGAGAACTATCTTTAGCACTCAATGTAATCAAAACTGAAGCAAGGACAACCAACAAGCTAAGGTGGATGTATCCAAACAACTATATACAGTTGGAATATTAGCAAGGAACCGAAGTACAAACCTTGTTCGTATTCTCGAACACGACGTTCGACCTCATCAACATCAGCTGCTTGTCGCAAGATCCCTTCCACATTAGCTCCTGTTTTATAAAATTCATTAAGTTCATATGAAACACATGTGAACAGTTAAGCAACATTTGAGGGGTCATTTAGACTTGATCTTGGCTAAAAGAAACTAATGTATATTTACTAGTTGCTCACTCTCACCTCCCTCTTCCACCTGAAACCAGAAATGAAACCCAATTGCAAGGTCACAAGTGGTATAATTTGAAACCCTTAGGACTTCCTTTCTCCTTAACTTTTATTGATGAGGTTGCTCTTACTTTGCAATTTTCTTTTCTTCATTAATAAAAGAACAATAACGCGTTAAAAATGCCAAACGAGGCAAATCTTTTATACAAAAAAATGAACCAAATATTTACATCCATCAGCTGTGCAAAGGCATAAAATGCCTCTAATGATGCATCAAGCATGCATTTATAAAATTCTCTGATGCATGAGAAAAACCACTTTAATATAAGAGTTCAGAACATTCTAACATAGACATGCACAAAAACCAGTTCCATTTCACTTTTTAAATAAAAGGCATGTAATAAGTGACATTGTGAGGTAAAAATAGCTAATATTGACTATACATGTATGATTAAAAAGTCAAGATTAGCTTTTTTACCTAAGTTGTCACCCAATAAGCACCCTTTAGAGGGGCAAAGTGGTCCCAACCCTTCCCACATCCCCAAATATTCTTTAAAAGAATTACATATAAAATTTAATATAACATATTAAAATATGTTTAATTTTACAATTTTTAATTAGCTTTTTATATTAAACTTGAGTGTTTATCCTTAAGAGCAAAGATTTCTTTCGATCTATTCTATTTTAATACACCACTTGACTTCTCTTCCTTTTAGTATCTCTACTTTGTCATTTATATTTCTTCTTTTGAATACTATTCTTTAAATTTAGTCAATCAACTTGTCTAGAATATCAAAACTTTCTATATCTACAAATTTAGAAGTTTATAAATTTGAATGTCGGTGCATCATACTAAATTAATAGTTAATTTACACAATTTATTCCTAAAAAAAACTCCTCATTCTTGATAATGAGATTATCTCTTAATGTACTTTTTTTCCTTTTAACACGTGATTTCATCATTATTAAATTAGAGTAATTTATATTTTTAGACTTAACATAAAAATATCCAAATACATGAAAAATTGTTAATAATATAATTATGTCTGCTAAAATTTCATTATTTCAGCCCCTTGCAGATCTTCTGGATCTGCCCCTCATACATACATGAGTGTGTGTGTGTTTATGGATATATATATATATAGAGAGAGAGAGAGAAGAAAACTCACCATGCTCTTCTATAAATGTCAGGGCTTTCTCCAAAAATGATGGAGTTCCATCAACATCCTCCAAAGCAAGTAAGATTGGCCGACCAATGACAGTAGATTTGGCTGGTTCTCTCTCCTTTACTACAAAGTGCAGAAAATTCAGATCAACAGAAAGAAAAAGTTATAGACTTTTACTGCATCAAGCACAAGCATCATCACATAAAAACTCACAACTAAGGCATTCTACAAATGTCATAACTGAAACAAGGAAAAAAGATAAAGAACAGGTTTAAGGTGTAATGTAGAACAAAAACAATCCCAATGTCCCAAAGAGACAATCAATTAGATGATACAAATTTAAAACCACTATCACTGTCAACTATACAAATGGATATGTAATGTTCATATCAGATATCAAATCAGAAAACCAACACACCAAACAGTAGTTGTTTGAATAAATATTTACTTGATGACGATTAAATTATTTCATGAAGTACCATATACATATCATGAACAACATTCGTAGTGAATGAACCACAGAGTGCGAACTGCGAACTGTGTGGTCAAATGACATATGGAAAGCACAATTATAACAAGGGCATACACTGGTCCAAAGAAATATCAATTGAATCAGTCTGATCGTTCCTAAAGATACCATTTTGCTCCATCACATTGACAGCACTAGGTGCTTGTGCCAACGCATTCTCAAGTGCAGTCTTCCACTCATATAAATCTTCAGTAGTTTCAGCCTACAACATCAACATTGAAATGATATGTTAGCAGCAAAAAACATTTACACATTTTCCATTCTGTCTGCATCTATCCCTTTATGTGTTTAACCAAAGAGCATGTATATCATACAGATAGAAAGCATAAATCTTATTAAAAGAAAAAGGCAACCATCATCAGAGCATCTAAATAATTTGTTTGGAAATATAATTCACCAGAATAAAAATCCTATATCCTCTTAATGAAAAAAGACATCTCCTGAAGGAAAAATTTTGAGAAAAGAAAAATAAAGCACCTTAAGTGTGAAAGCTCGTCCATCATGAACATCAGGAAATTGTACTGTCAAAAGTTTCTTATCTGGTTTGATAACAACACTACAAAATTTAACAATAAAAGTTAAAAGACTTCATGATCCTTTACAATCCTTCTATCATGACAATATGAGATAAACAAAATGATAATAAGGTGTAGTTGTGGAACACAAGCCAACCTGCCTGAATTGTTGAGGTCAATGCCACCTAGGGTCAAATTCACTTCATTTCCCTTCTGAGGGACAGCATTCTGAAAAGCATAAAACATAACGATAAAGATATATGACAAGAATTTTGCAAATATAAAAAATAGGTAGGTACACAAATTAAACTTGCAGGTGTGTAAGCTGGAAATTCAAGCCTTATACATGGTTAATTAACATTTTGTTTACTATTTCTAGTTCTTACCAATTAGCTCTTGTCATCACTATCAGCATCAACCTCAAGACAATCTTATTATGGCTAATCACACTAAGACAATTAACAGTGGAATATGTCAGTTCCTATTTTTAAAAGAGAAATGCCTCATAGCCACTAGCCAGGGAAAAAAATAAGCCACGACTTCGCCCCCATTAACTAACATTATATTAAATTAATAAAGCACGTCAGTTTTTGCTAAGAAAATGTACTTACTGGATCACTTCTGAAGAAAACAAGTGACGTTTGTGTTAAAATAAACCACCTTTTCTTCCAGGATGTCCATCCAATTCCTACACATCAAAGGAAAAAACATTATGTGATAATAATGACTTCAAATCTCCTCAGACATTCTGCCAAGAGTTGAGCATTATATATGCAGTAAAAATATGGAAATTAAATTTTGGGAGGATTAAAAGAAGAATTAGCAATGATAAATGATTTCAATATTGACACTGTAAATGGCCTAAGAGAAAATACTGATGTTGTAGCATACTTACTTTCTCATGTCCTACTTGTCTAATATTAGTTCACATCAGAGCTTTCTTTTCTAGCTAAACTTCACAGATCAAGCATTACAAAATTCTCATCAATTCTTGGTCCATAGTTCCCTTTTTCAATAAATTACTTTTCCCCGGCATTTTGCTCCTCTATATTATGAAAACCTTTATAAAACTCTGTTGTTTGATAAAAAATGCTATGACCAAATCCAAAATGTGATCGAGCCTAATGAAATTGTTAATTGGGCCATCTACTCATGAATGAATGCTTTGTTTCCTTTTTCTCAGCATATAAGGCTGAACAAAGTATAAATGACATTCCCATGAAACATCATATGATGTTTAGATTTAATGAATCAATTATCAGGAATGCATTTTGGATTTCGATAGTGTATCTTGTAAATACAAGAGATTTCTATAGGTTTTCACAATAGAGGGGAGGTTTGTAAAGATACAAAATCCATGGGAAAAGAGAGTGATTTATTCTGTAAAAAGGGGAAAAAAACTATGTCTATCACACCCATTTTGCTCTTGCCTTTAAACATTTAGGTTAGGAGTTAGGACAACCATTTGTACCACAGGAAAAGACACTAAACTTGCTCTTACTCGTTCCATTATGAATTACATGAATGTTTAGGTTTTATTAAAAGAAAATATGTAAACTAGTGGAGAAAAACACACCTTTGGAAGATATGAAAAGTGGCCCACTCTTGAAAATCTGCAAGATGTGAAATTATAGGAATTTAAACCGCGATATCAGAGGGACATGGAAACCATATTCACTTCAAGTCAGCTAAATTTAACAATGATGGTTTTTTTTAACATGCATGCCTTTCAACATCTAAGTAAGCTCCATTAGGATACGTTTATAGTCATGCAAAAGTCCAACATGGGAAATTTTTGACCGTTGTGACAATGTACAGCCATGCTCTTCCATTTAAGCAAGAAAAATAGTCCAGTTGATCCAAATTCACACAAAATCTCATCATTCCCATGTTTGCAGAGAACAACAATTACCATATTGCCGCTGCCACCATGAGAACGCTGATGCTCTGGTGGCCCAGACTGAGGGTTAGGAGAAGGAAGAGAAACACCACCATTCCCCTACAAAATGAACACGTAATTATATTGTATGATTTTTTTTCCCTGTTTATTTACATATATAATAACACATATATGCTCAGAAGTCCATACTCCGAGGCACCGTCATCCCCATTCTTCAATTAATTCAAAACTCACGGTAAATATGAATATATATATATATATATAGCAGCCAATAAAATTGTGCATTGAAAAATGGTGACAGCAAATAAATAAATAAAAGCTTTTCACCTGAGACAATTCTGCACTTGTGTTGGTCATATCTGTGATCCCAAAATCACAGAAGTATATCCAAGATGATTACCCAGCAGAAGTCACCACATTCAATTGACCAAACCTTGCATCAACATTCATCAAAACGGCAATGCAGCTCAGCGATTATTACAGGAAAAATAATAGTTTAAAAAATAAAAGAAGAAGAAACGACAACGTTGTATTGAATCTACATTGTATTATACCTGGCTTGGAAACCAATCAAAAGAGAACAAAAATATGAACGGAAAGAACGTGTTGAGAGAGGAAGGGGAAAAAAACAAAGGAGAGAATGGGGAAGCGTGAAAGTGAAAACAGTGTTTGGGTCTTTGTCTTTAGATTGGCGTTTCTCTCTCTTCTCCAAATGGAATGTTGTGTGAGAAATGTTTGTGTGGTTAATCGAAGCCAAAATGCGAATGAGGAGCGAGTCTTCCTAATTTGCTATTGTTGTACACATCAACCTTAAAAAACGAAGCAGATGGAGGGAAAACTAAACCCGGTTGAAAGAGTGAGGGTCCTTTCGTCATTTCTCACTCCCATCTTCCTGCGTCTAAGGTTGCCGGATGGCGCAAACGCACTACGTGCAAACACGTGGCTCCTATTCCTAGTCACGGTCCCCGCTATGCCATTTTATGATCAAGAGTCATGTCTCGATTATGACATTAAAATTAATTAAACAGATTAAATGTCAACGAAAATTAATAATTCAGGATTTTAATCTAAAATATGTTGAGTAAAAAGTCAAATTATTTAAATTTTCAGTGTATTAACTGTTTGCTGAAAAAAGTATTACTCACAAATATTTTAAAAGCACTGAATGATGATTTTAAATATAAAAAAATTATGGTATTTGATTTAATAATCATTTTTTATTCTTGATTGTTGACAAGGGCCTTTCATTAAATACTCCTTTTAAAAAAAATTAACAAACACGCTTATGATTTTTATTTGCCGGACCTGTTTATAATTAATAATAATACTACCATGTGATTTTGGGTTGCCTGAGAGAAGGAAGTAACTGCTGGGCCTTGGCCCCGTTAATGATATTTAAAAATAAATAAAATTCTATAAATGCACGTATAAAGTTGAAAAGGATCAAAATATTTTTTTAAGTATAAGTTGTAACGTATTCGAAAATAACGATCATAATTCCAAATTTTATTTTATATATTTTTATATCATAAATATTTATTTATAGGAAGTAAATTATGAAAATACAATATTAAAATATTAGAAGATTGTTTAAAAATGACTCTTGTTTTAAATATTTTATATTATTTTTTAAGTAAAGTTATCTTTGAAATTAGCGTTAAATTTTAATAATGACTTTTATTTAATTAGTTATTGAGGTATAACTCTAATTTTGATTCGATTTAACACTGAAGATGTCCAAAATCCTATGACTAAGTTCTATTTGTAGAACAAGCAATTTGACATAATTCTACTTGTAAGTTTAAGTAAATTTAATCATTAATTTTGACTTGTATGACAAACAAACAAATATTAACAAAATCAATGTTTTTTAAGTAAAAATAAGAATGAATATTTTAATACTTGAAAATTAATTAAGATTATGTCATTTTGATACTTTGTAACAATTAAAAGTGGTTTTTTTTTCACCAACTCTCAACACGACATTTACATAACAATCTTTATTTTGGTTGCAAATTTAAACTACAATTATATTATTTAAAATCATCCCCCTGTCTAGAGTTTTTATTATGAATCTTATTTTGATTGCAAGTTGCCTTTTGGCCTATATACAAAATACATATTTTTTATACGCATAATATATTTTTAAAACTAATAAATTTTATAATTTGAATATTCGTATAAAAAACAATGTGTTATAAACAATAATCACAATAAAAAAATGTTATATAGAAACTATATTTTAATTTAAAAAAACAACATTATAATTAAAGTTAACAATATGTACTATTTAAATATTTTATTTATATATTTTTAAAATAAAAAATATAAAAATTGAATTTATATAAAACAAAAATAATATTTAAATATTGTAGTAAACAACTTGTTTTTTCTTTAAATAATTGTTTGATTATTTTTTTATTCTTTAATCAACATTTGATTTTCTTCGAGCAACATTAAATAAAAATGCTATAACATTCTCAAATCACAGTAAAAAAATAATTTTTAATTAAACTTCTTTAAATAAAAAAAATTCAAATATCTACATTGTCTTCATTTATTTTGTCTTATATTGTCAACAAAGCAGAACTTCTACCAAATAAACTACTATTTACCATAATACTTTTTAATTTGGCACCGAAATAAAATAAACTAAATTTACATTTCGCTCGTGCCTATAATACCGATGCAATTCATGATTGTTAATACATAATTGGAGAAAAATCACAATAAATCTCACACTTATATTATGCACAGAAAACATAAACAAAAGGTTTAAATGCAAGGAGCTTGTCGGTATACCAAATCAAGAGCTACCGTTAACTGTCCTTTACTACGGCAAATGCAAATCAACGGTGGATTGTACTTTCATTATTAATTTCTCTTCCTTGGAAGAAAAAAAAAAAGTTTTATTCATTTTAACATCTAAAGATAAATTTAAGCGTATAAATATATTTTTATGTTTTTAATGTGATAGTTATTTTTATTAAAATATTAATTTTAGATATTTAAACATTGTTTTAAGGTTAAGATTAATAAAAAAAAATTCGCGAAAGTGACAATGTATTAGGCTTATGTTTGCAGGACTTTAAGAAAATATAATTTACTCAATATAAAAATGTTGATAAAGATGTCTTTAAAGTAAGTAAAATTAAATTTGCGGTAAGTTAAAAATAGGGAATATTTATGTAAATATATAGTTTTAGTTCAGTTGTATCTTTTATCTTATATTGTCATCAATGTGTGATTATAGTTTCATAATGATGTTTTTTTTTTCAAATTTGATTATCTTTTCCTAATTATTACAATTAAACTTTTCACTCCTTTTTCCTTTGATTAAAGTTATGAATCTTTGTCTTTTATTTAAATAATTGAGCATATATGTCATATTTAAAATCGAAAATAGATTTAAAAGTTATATAATACTGATAATTTTGGAATGATTTAATATAAGATGAGGCTACGGTATTAGTATTAAAAAAATATATGATATTTTTGACGATAGGTTTTAAGCTGGAAAAAAAAAACTTAAAATAGTTCAATTGAATCAATCTATGGAGACATTGAGAGGAATGGGAAAAAAATGCTTTTAAATCTAAGTATTTCAAGCACTGTATTAGTATTTTTTAAAACATAAGTAGAAGAAAATTGATTTATATGTTGGAAGAAAACAGGAATTTTAAAAAAATACAAAATAATTTCAACGGATGGGTAGTAAAGATTTGGGATAAAAAAGGCAAAGTTCAGCATAAAAAACAAACGTATTCGAATATGATATTTAAAATTTTGGATTTTTGACTTAAAAGAAATGTTTAATAAAAAGTTTCAGATAAATAAAGCTTTAAAATAATAATTAATTTGTTTGTTTAAAAAAAACCTTAAACAAATAGATCTTATTATGGAACAAAAAACAACTTGAAATAAAAATTTAATATTCTAAGGCATTAAGGTAGTATATTAACAATATTTATGTTTTGATTGTTAAACATCACTGATCCTTTTTTAGAAAAATATTACTATTATTGATGGGTTTTATTTTGATTAAAAGATGTAAGATAAAGAACGCAATTAAACACAAACAAACAAAGTCTGAGCACAATCCTAATAACAAAAAGGAAAATATTTTCATAAAATTTTACATAACAATACTTTTTTCTTATAAAAACTTATCCCATTTAAACTCTTAAAACCATATCAACCTTGAGATTAGTGTTAATAAAACCTTACAATATTTTTAACTGTGTATCTACGATTCATTGAACGAGTTTAATAGAGTGTGTGAATATCAAGACGAGGAATTAATAATAATACGTGTAAAAAGATAAAATAATGTATTAATCTAACGCATGAAATGAACGTTATCATGAAAAAAAGTTACAAAACTGTTAATGATAATTAAATTAAAAGGACGGAGTCTGATTCGGAGTCCAAAGTTTGAAACGTGTCAAAGTGAAAGAAAGATCCCAAAAAGCAAAAAGGGGAAAAAGATAGTTAGTGTAACGAAGAGGGAACAATTCCAATACACGACAGAGACAGAGACGAAGCCATTGCCAAGCAATCATTACCGTTCGTATTTGTATTCCTATCATCTGTGGTTGCCTTTCCCTTCAACGCTTTGTTTGCATTCATTATTTTAAGCTTATGGATCCGGAAGCCTTGCTGGGCCCCGACCCGAACGTGGACCGGGACCCGCTTCGCGTAAAGAGGAAGACTCTTGAGGCGGTGCTTCTGCAGTGTCAGAGAGCTCTTGAGTTGATCAACGCTACAAGTGCCACCACTGCTTCCACTTCTCCTTCTGCTGACGTGGAATATGAGGAGGGTGAAGCCACTGCATCAGTTGATCCTGATGCGGACAAGGTAATCCCTCTCTCCGTTTTAGGGTTTCCGTTACGACTGAATTTATGGTTTATTCTTATTCGATTATGGATTGAAATGGTCATTGCTCTTGTCTTCTTGACATTGATGCTCAACGTTGCACTTATTCTCGTGTTGATGACATTCGTGATAGAAACATGTTGAGTTTTATGTGTGTTTTTATTAATACCGTTTCGGTGATTCTCCTCTAGTGTGTGTGTCGCGATTTAATCTTCAACTGATCATTGATATGGTAGTGTTTGATAGATGGATTAAAACGGGACAGGAAATAAAACGAGTTTTGTTCTATATTTGGTGCATTTTTTCAAAAATAGAAGAAAATTATACGAGGTTAAAAGAGTGGTGTCTTTTGATTTAATTAAAAAAAGTGGAAACATGGAGAACAGAACAGAACCGTTCCATTTTGTTTCGTCCGCATGTGAACACCACTTTAATATAGATAAAATTTTGCTGATTATGCTCCCTAACGACATGGCCTCACGTGCCCCAATGCAGTTATGTGATCTGCTCAAATCCAGAGTTGAATGCCCTGCCTTTCTTCAAAAGTTGGAGTGCGCCCAGGCGTCGGTTTCGCAGAATACAGCTGGTGGGTTCTGCGTTGCAAAATGGTTTTCTGTATTTTGATGATTTCAGTCAGTTCAACTTGTTTTTTCTTTGTTTCAAAATTATAATCATAATAAAAGAAAAAAAAAATTGGTTATGGCAGAAGAAGGTAATTCTTGGGACATTGTCAGTGAAAATGATCTCTGGGATAGTGAACGTGCTGACGCAGACCAAGAAGATTATGTCCTTGTTAGACAAGAAGATATAGTGGAGGGCATTGCATGCTTTATGGCTGCATATTTGCTATCCATCAAGCAGACTAAGGTATGTATTTTGTATCTATGCTCTTGTTATTCAGATGACTCTACTGTATTTGCCTGTTATTTTTGCTTCTCTTGTGCATTATATTATTCGTCGTGAGATCATTTGACTGAGATTCTTGTGAAAACCTGATCCCAAAACATTTGGCTAAAAACTTCAAAATACCTCTTGACATGCTGTAAGAACCAGCTGTTTTCTGCTTTCTTCTGTACACCTTACTTTCAGGCTCCATGTACATTGAACCTTCTGCTTTCTTGAATCTGCTCAAACCTCCAAATATACTTTTCAGTTGGGATTGAAATTCCACACCGGGAGAATTGTTTTGCATGTTTTCTTAAAAGGTTTTGGGGAATTGTTTTTCCCCAATCATCTTTAAACTTGTCTTATATGTATATGTTGCCACCTATGTTACATAGAATCATGTACAAGTCATGACCAGTAGATTATATGTTGTGGAAACAAAACATTTAAAAATATTGGATTTGGATACAGTCAGGAGTTATATTAAATAAAATATTTAATATATTTATGTGTGTAAAATAGACTGCATAATGCATAACCATTTGTAAAGCCGCAATTATTAAGCATAATCACTACAAACCTTAATCATCATATCCCCATATCTAACTATGCCATAAGTAAAATTTAGAAAAATGTAGTTATAAATACTTTATATGACATAAACATAAGTATGCAAGGAAGGCTTATTTTGGTTTTCAGAAAATGAAAATAAGCTAAAATAGGCAGTTTTCCCACTTTGGTTTTGAAATCTGATTTGAATACGTTATAACCATGCTGAGAAACCACCATTTTCTGTCCTCCGAACTGCAGAGTCACACAGAATTCATTCATAGAATATCAAATCACTCTAATTTGAGCTATACTCAGTGCAATTTTTGGAGTTTCCTGTATTGTTGTGTATCAGCATTGTGTTGGCAGATTGGCTGCATATTAGCATGGCCATATCTGACTAAAAAAAATCAGCAGAAAATGCCAAAATTATGGTTGTAGCTAAATTATGTGCATATTTTGTATGGTGCTGAAATTGTTGTTTTATTTGAGCATGCTATTTAAAAAATCAAGACTTTCTGGTGCTTTAATATGTTTTTTTACCCTGGAAATTACTTTATATCTTATATTAAACGCTACCAAATATTGTGAATAAATATAAGTAGTGTTATTTACCAGTATATTCTATTATCACTTTTGATGAATTTTTGGCTGCTACGTGTTTTATCTGGAAGCAGTACTGTTATTTTATGTGATACTAAAAGTATACAATTTTACTCTAAATTGGTGGCAGCGAGTGGTCTGTGTTTTTGTTGTGACTTGCATGAAATTGTGTTTAATAATTTGTGTGTGGTCAATTGAGATTAGTTATTTACCACTAATGTTTCTTAGCAAAGTTGAACTGGAAACTTCTGAATTTAATTTAATATTTAATAATGAACTTCAAATTTATAATGTGTATTTTCTCTGGAAAGATGTCCACTTTGAGCATGGTAGCTTTGTTCAATATAAGGAAATATGTAGTTGCTACTCACAATAATTACATTAATAACTATAATGTCAAAAAATATAGAGATGTTTGGACTTCATTGTTGATATCGAATGTTTCCCTTCCTTTCTGCCTTTATGGGTATTATGTTACAGCTTGTGCTTTGATGATACGGATAAAACATTCTTTTTGGAAGTGAAAGGTCTAGAAATTATCCTAGTGAATTAGAAACTTAATCATTTAATATGCAGGCCTTTTTTGGTATTGTGCTTCTATGTAAACCTCCTCATTCATCTGTAGGATAACAATCACTTGTACTCTTTTTTGCCTGTGAGGAATGTTGTTTTACAAATTTGATCTACAATCAATTGCAGCAAACTTATTAATGTATCCGAAATTTCTGCTCTCTCTCTCTAATTGATTTCTTTGTTCTTTGTAGGATTTGACCCCTATCCAACTCCAGGAGGGTGAGTTTGTTTGCTTCCTATTATAATAATTTACCATTGTTATTCTTCCATATATTCGAGTGAAAAACAAAAAATAGCTGTTTTTCATCTATCTTTTCATTTCAGATAAACTTTTATGATCTTATTGTGATAATTACATTGTAAATTTGCCAAAAGAATGGGAAAGAATGTCTTGACTTTTTCTTAATCTGTTTTATTAGCGATCAGCAAGACATTCTCAGTGAAAAAGAAAAAGGGAAAGCTTCGAAAGGCTTGGGATGGGAGCAAAGTTATTTATAATGTTGCATCATGGGGGGCTACGGCCATAGGGTAAGTGGTTATTCCAAACCCAATTTCCCAATTTTTATAATTTAAGGAACTTGTTTAACTCACCCATCGCATAACTTGCATTTAATTTGTGGCATATCTTGGCTATGTGGATTTGCGTGCCTGCCTTTTAGCATACGTATTATAATCTCGTGGTGAATATTGAGTACCTTGCGTGTCATCTTCTTCTTCTTAGCTGTTTTTCCATTTGCTCTAGCAAAAAGAAATTCCTTCTCAGTTAATTTCAACCTCTTTTTAGCTAACAGTTCCATTTTTATCTACCACTTACGTCTGACATTCTTGACAGGATATATCAAAACCCTGTTATTCTCAGGGCTGCAACTAAAGCATTCTGGGCTTCTTGTCATGTCATATCGAAGCTTCTCTAATTTGCCAATACAGCATGCAGCTTGGAGCGAAGTTGTGATGTAGTAATTTAACCACTCTTGTACCTTGCTTGTGCTGCAATTTAGCTTGGCGCCCGATGCCCTGTTCGTGTTTGATTTAAATTTCGATTTCTTCGCACCACAAATCAATTGATTTTAACATAGTTTTATATTGTAAATATCACTATTAAATGTTTCCGAGTGCTATTAAAAAATGAAATATCGAATTCAAAACTCAAGCCATAAACATGATTTCCCTCTCTCCACGTCCGAGAACCGAACATCCGGTTGCCTTGCCCTTCTGTTTAACTTGGTTGTTTTTTGCTTCGTAATATATTTTTGGCTTAAATAAATTATTAATTCTAAAAATATCACATTTTTATCTTAGTTTTTATAAAAATGTTATTCGATTTTTGTTAGCACATAATTTGACTCCTTTGTCAGGAATTTAAATTAGTAATTTTTTTAAAAAAAAATTGGACTAAAATAAAAAATATTTTAAGAATTAAGATTAAAAAAAATGATGTTTTTCTGAGCGTAGAAGTCAGGTGGGGATAGATAGGGTTACCTGTCAATGAATATGAAATTAGGGAGTTTTGGTCTTTTGGAAAGTGGATTGCTGACTTGCTGTGTGGTTTGATAATGCTGGACTCGGTGCTACGGGCTGTTTATGTGAGAGAGTGCGGTTAACCGTGGGTGGGTTGTACGGGGTTTATATGAAATTACCGATTGCACTAATTTTTTTAATCACATTACACTTCTAAAAATTTAATTCTAAAAATCACTTATAAAATTTCATTTAAAAAAAAAAATTCACATCAATAAAAAATTATGGAATATATTAAAACACTTCTGAAATTTTAATTCCTAAAGTGATTTCCAGAATTAAAATTTTAAAAGTAATTTATACATCAAAATTAGTTTTCTAAAAATGAAAAAACAGAAACCAGTTGTGCTGAGAATAATTCCGCGTATTCTATAGTGGTCTCAAGCTTTCCACGAATATCACAGATCATAAAGCTAACTGTATTAGAGGATTTTTTTAGTAACTATTTCTCTCTCTATTATTCTCAGCTCCAAAATGCATCCGCTTTCTCCTTCAGTTCAAGCTTCTTCTAGCCTTTATGTAACCAATAACCAGCTGCTACTAGTACTACTAGTGATCACACAATGTTTTTAATTTTGTCATTGGATTGCACCAGACAGCCACTGCTCTAATCTCATCAACCCCACAAATAATCAACGTAGGAAGCAAAATGATCAAGTTATTTAGCGATAGTCACTCACTCGCTTCTCCATCAGGTTACATGGTGTTTTCATCAAATGTAGTTCCAATTCAGACCACCAAAATTCAACAACACCTTCAAGAATTTATCCGAACAAAATCTCCACTTTCATTAATAATGGAGATTCAACATTAAAACTAAATTATTGCAGGCTGATTTTCTTTTGATCCGTATTCAAACACAACTGTAACATTAGAAAACCTGAATTTCGTTAGTCTGACTCAAGCATACAATTCACCAACGTTACATTCCCCAAGAAAAACCTTGATGCTTCGCGGTGAACCGCAGCTGCCTTCAGCAATAAGTGCTCTGTCATTGGCGGCCATGTGTGCAATAATCTTGAAAATCATTTCAATCTGCATGAAAGTGAAAATGTTGAATTTCTATGATGATTCTTAATGAACAAGGGATAGGGCACATGATTGAGAAAGTAATAGAGAGGGATAATAAATGTACATCTTCTGGAGCATGGCAACGTTCAGCTACTTCTTCCAGGGTCAATGGCTCAACAGGCTCTTTGCAACTGAAAAGTCAAAAATATTATTTAGTGATAGACTTATTGACAATATATACAAGGATGCAAAATACACAAAGTGACTCCGTATTATTCTAGACAGATGTTGACCCTCTGATTATTATCCTTAACAAATAATTTCAAATATCTTCAGTGGATGCCCCTTAAATCACATAATTACAGAAATGACCCCTTATATCACATAATTACAAAAATGACTCCCAGGTAGGATAGTCACTTCACGCTCAAGATAACAAGAGGGGCCCCACCAACACATTTTACTGAACAGAAAAATTAAATCTACAAGTCTCTGAGAGCATAAGCAATGACCAAAATAACCCTAGCTAAGCCAGAAAACAGCGGTGTAAAATAAACATCATACCTTGCCTCATTTAGCACTGCCAATACGCGCTTCTGAAGTGCCAGTACTTCACCTGCTGCTTTTTTACCAGCTTCCACACCTAAGTAATTATCATAGTTCAGACTTCAGCAGTGGTTGCATAACAATGAAGAAACTAAAAATACCCAAGTTGCATATATAGTTCAGTACGGTTGACTCAAAATTCAAAACAACAGAATTTGTTGATCCCAGTACAGGACATGGAAAAATTCTGAAATGGACACTATCAATATAGCAACATTATTCTTTATTAAAAGTCAATAACATTCTAAAATGGGCTAAATAAATCATATTTTACCAGGTTGATGATAAGCATTTATGTTAACAAGAGAGGCATATATTCCTACTGCTCGTTCATAGAGTGCAATAAGAGCACCAACTGATCTTGGCGTCACTTCTTGTACAGTGACTGTGATGGACTCTCGGTTATTAGCATACAATGCTGACCTTGTTCCCTACAGAAACTCCAATTTTAGCTCCAAGCCATGGGGGAATACTAGCAACAGGTTGTAAATAAAATCATCAAGTTTGGTAAGTAAATATGCATGATTAGCAGAACAGACCTGTAGCATACCAAACAAGTAGTCTCCACATGTGACACCTGGTTCAAGCTCCCAATCATGACCAGGGGGTCTATCACGTAGAACCTCAATGAACGTCACAAAGAAATTGTGCACACCTTCCCTCAATTGTTGAATATAGCTGAAAGGGGGCAGAAGTTTGCTAGAGATTAATCAAACCAACAAACTATAACAAACAAACTTAGAGTGGAATGAAAACTCACGCATGCTGATCAGTGCTGCCTTTATTTCCGTAGACACTGATTCCTTGATTAACCTATGGAATCCAAAAGTCAAATTCAGATAATATCATTAACTCTTGCAGGATTGAAGCATATAAGGCTAGACATAGTTAGCAAATGTGATATAATATGTGACAAGAAAGATTCATCAATGAAGGAGAATTAGGATCCCTTATTAACAATGTCCAGTCAAGTTAATGATGCTCCAAATGAATGTGTGACACCACCATGTATACAGTATAAACACCAAAACAATGAATTATAACTACAAAGTCTTTCGGCTACTTCCAGATGCAGGCAACACTGCAAGCTGATGCAGGGCAGTACAAAAACAGTATTATTTTATTTTGATGCAGGTAAGAATAAGACATACCCGATTACCGTCCAAGTCAAACTCCTTGCCTAGAGATTCCATGACCAACTGCTGCAAGTATCTACTAAATAATAGTAGGCTGTCCTTGTACGGAAGAATAACCATATCCTGCAGAATAAGGATGAGAAGAAAACAATGTGCAACAGTTAAATAAAATAGAAGACAGATGCTAATCATTAATAAATTATATAATTCTCACCTTGGATCCTACACCATCTGTAGCCCAATACCAACATAAAGCCAGCAGAGCAGCAGGGTTGTTCCTTAACTGCACAAAAGTATGTATTAATCAGAGATCCTTTGTTTTATTATTGGGGAGAGAGGCAAGGTTAAGAAGACAATATTGTAAAGTATAATTAAAAAAAAAAAAATGAAATGGTACTATACAGCTGATCATCATGTTACAACCAATCATGCAATGTTTCTTCTCAAGAAGGTAAGGGATTTCTAAAAAATTTGGCCTTCAGTATATAAAAACAGCATTACTAGATAAATATAACCATTTCTGGCATGCATTTTCCTACTTGTATGCAAATATTCTCAATTAGGCTATTCTTGTTCATTCACATATTTTTTGACATCCTATCATCTTCAAGCAGAAAATAGTAATTTTCCAAAGCCACAAAGCATGCCACAAGTCCGAACTCATACAGTCCTATTCTAAGCACAAGCTCACATTATTGAGTTTCTCATAAAGATGACAAAAAAGACACGTCAAGAGTCAAATTTCTAAAATATAGCAACATAAGGCACACTAGCGTCAAGCAAAGCATAAGCTTAGAGATAAAAATAATCTCAATATTTTACTTAATATTAAGATTTGATTCTGGGCTTTCAATACCATTATCATCAAAACCTAAGTCAAATTTTCCTTCAATTTGTCTCAAAATTCACTAAACCTGAGTCCCAGACACAAATACCACAGGTACAGTTCACAGCCACAAAACCGTGTTCTAAACTTGCAAACCCTTTCCTTTACCTATCGACTGTAACTCATTAATATGATAAATTCTATCCTTATTCTGCCCAAGAAATCCCAAACCAAATCAATTAAATGCTAAACCCAACTGTCTTACACCAGATAGCTAGTTTAACAATAAAACAGTGGTAAGGTCATTTTAATAGATGCTGGATCAAAGTCCTACATCGATGATGATGAAAGAAACCAATTGAACTGAACTGATAAAGCATGACATACGTTCAGAAATAAAGTTTATCAGCTTATGCAAGTTGATGACTTTTGGTCCATACATCACACATTTACCCTATGACCTCATTACTTGCGACACCAATAATCAGACCCCAGGTTTGACCAATTATTTAAGTTTTGCTCAGTTTAACCAAAGATAGTACAAATAAATATTGCAAAATATTGAAGGTAATCAGGAAGGAATTTAGGCACATAAACTTGTGCTTAGAAAGCACCTCATACACGTGTCAGAATGGCAGCATCAACCTTCATAATTAGATCAGAATGATTTACAATATCTCACTGATGAGGCTGTAATTAGTTCTGTGCAACTTCCTTACCCTCACACCCAACCACCACACAAGTATTAGCACATGAAGCAGCACCCATAGTACTTTAAAATACGCATGGCAAGTCATCAAGTAAGAATATCTCTGGTATAACACAAGCATTATCATACATGAAAAAGATTACATGGGCACAATGCAACTCTGAAGTAATATTTAGATTCAACAAAAAAAGAAAAAGATGATTAGAAACTGATGTATACCACAATACTTCTATTTGCCTCATCCATCAATGATGCACCAGCAAGCATTTCTGTGATGTCAATGCCCTAAATCAAGAAGCAAATGATAAGAAAACACAAAATATCAATGTATAAACACTTTGACTTTAGATTAATGACCACTTACCTGAAGGGCTGCTGGAAGCAGGCCAACTGCAGACATCTCCGACGTTCTACCTCCCACCCAATCAAACATGGGAAATCTAGCTAACCAGCCCTCAATTCTGGCAGTGTTATCCAACAGAGAATTTTCTTGTGTTATAGCAACACCCTGTGTTGTAAAATGTATTAGTGAATAGTAACAATTTCCACAGACTGTGACACTGACAGACGATGTGCAAGTGATACGGGGTCAACAACATTTAGATATTCCACAACTCCAGAAATAATAATAATAGTATAAAAAATCCCTCCAGAAGTTCCAACTATTGTCGGACAACGTAAACAAAACTATGAAAATTATGAAAGGTATAGCAGTGAGAAAAAAAATAGTATTTTAGAATCTTCACACCGGTAAAGCAAATCAATCTAGATACAAGTAGCTTTTTCACTCTCACAAAACTATCAGTCACAATTCTAGCACCATAATACTATATAGTATCTAAACTTCTGATTCAGATGTAGTATCATGTACTAATATAGGAAAATAAAAAATATATATATAAAAAGTGAAAACCTGAGATTAAACCTGTTTCGGAAAATCCAAGCCTGCGTCACGAAAGGCCTTCTGTACTTCTAATAAACCATTTCTAGTCTCTGGGGTACCTCCACTCTGGAAATAATTGAAACTTTCAAGTTAAAAAAAATATCTTCAAGCACTCAAGACAACATTGTAATCAAACAAAAAAAAAAGTATAATCCTCATGCAGACCTTTGAAATCACAATCACAAGTGTAGAGGCTAGCTCAGATCCAAGTTGTGCAATCTGATGATCAATTCCAGCAGGATCAGTGTTGTCAACAAATCTTATCTGTCGAAAGACCAAAAACATCCTGTGAGCCCCCACAAAAACCAATTATATATCCATACTTTACATGAACAACACTAGTTGCTCAGGTATTTCAAAATATCAGACAAGCACACTTAATCATTGCCATATCATCTGTCGAGGTAGAGAAGCGAAGGAGCCTATCATCAAACACTTGTGACAAATGAAATAACTGAATTCAAACATGTAGGTCCACAAATTTAACTCCCACATTTGAGGAGTAAATTGGCACGCATTAACTACTCTTACATCACAATTTAGCACCAACAATAACATAACAGGAATAACATGAATACCTTAAGTGGAGGATTATCAGGAGCCAATGCCTCTGCAACAAACTGTGGTCCAAGAGCTGAACCTCCAATTCCAACAGACAGTATTTGAGTAAAGCGACCTTCAGGAGACGAGGGAGGCTTAATCTGCCAAATATTCATTGCCACACACAAATCAGTAAAACCCTAATTGAAGCAAAATCCACAACACACACAAATCACCAAATGAAAAACAAGAATGAGAATTGAACTGACCTTACCGGTGACGACATCCTGAGCAAACTTCAAAACGGCGTCGAGAGTGTTCTCAATCTGCGTCCTGAGGAAGGAATTGGGAGCGCGTTTAGGGTCCCTCAACCAATAGTGTCCAACCATGCGACCCTCATCGGGGTTCGCAATTGCGCCCTTCTCCAACTCCTCCATCGCTCGAAACGCCGTTTGAAACCGGGGCTCCATTTCCTTCACGAACTCCTCCGTGAACCCGACCCGACTCACGTCAAGGTAAAGCCCCAGTTCCTTATGTTGATACAACCAATCCACGTATCTCCGCCACAGCGCACGTGGATCTTTCTCCAGCCCCTTCTTCTCACTCGCCACCACCGCTCCATCGGAAACCTCCGCCGGAACCTCCCGAGCGACCGAGTGAGCACAGGCGAGGCTCAGAGTCCGATCAACGCGACGCGCGGGGAACGACACGTGTTCTTTGCGGAGAGTGTTGGTCAACGGTGGAGGTTGGTATTGGAATTTTTTAAGGGTTGGGGAAGAGGAGCAAATACCTGAGATTGATGCCATGTGTTATGGATCGCGATTGAAAGAAAGCGTTGGAAGGGGATTTTAAATTAAGGTAGGGGCATGACGGAGGTGGCTTGATATTTAGGAGAGTGGGAACAAATAAATAACAAGTGATGATGCAAATGGTGTGGTTCAGTAGAATCTCAAGAAGTGGAGCTTTGTTTTTTTTAGGTGACAGCGTTTGTGATAGCGGTTTTTGTCTTTGAACAAAGTTGTTTTCTTGTTCTGTGTGCTCTGTGATATTCACCAGAATCACGCGCTCATCGGTTGGTAGTTGTACATAACTCGACGATCAAATACCTTAGTAATCTGTTGCACTCATATTACCTCAATGCCCCCAACCCTGTCTTTTTCAATAACAATAACGCGGCAGCACAAATGCACTAATTTAAATTTCTTCAGGATGTGTTTAAAACCTTCGCTTAGTTCAGTTACACGTTGCTAAGATCCAAAGGATTACTTCTTATGTGTGAATAATCACTGATTATTACTGTTAAGCTACATCGTCAAATAATTTAGAAATATGTTTTTAAACTCAATCATTGTTGCGTGAATGGAAAAACACATTTCTTTTTTAGGAAATTGACTTTCATTGTTTACTTCTTTTGTCTATTAAATCTGGTTAAGCGATAAATATAACATGACTTGAATTGGAAAATTATATCTTTGAGGGGCTGTATCACTGTCACGCTCGAGTGAGAGTGACCGAGCTGCTTCTATCGTGAATCATGTTAGTCTTTGAGAGACATTGTGTTCAACATTTTAATTTTTAAAAAATTTAAAATATCACAATTCTCATAATAAAACATTTGTAATATTAAGTATCATGTCAGATATTTAAGTGGCAAAAAATAATGTTGTTTAAAAAATAAACGTGACAAAATATCTTTAATTGTTAAAGAATTGAGTCATTCTGTGAGCATAAATTTAAGTAAAATTCTGGTATATTTACACTTTTAAAGCGATAACACTGTTGAAGTTTTTTGGTAGATTGAATTAGCGTCTTTGAAATTGTTAGATTTGAGTGCTAATAACATTTTTCTTCCTTTGCTAGAGTTTAAGAATGACTTGAAATCTGTTGTTGGGGAAACATTCTCTTCAATTGTCGCTCCGAAGTTCTTTCTTCAAGAAATAACAACCCTTTAACCAAAATCATGCAAAACGACACCATTTTGCGTTTTTTTTTCAAACGACGTCGTTTCTTGCCGACATCTACTATGACACTTAACGTAACAAATTAGTTTTTTATTACAATTTATTAATGGAGTATGAGTGTAAAGACTAAAATGAATGATAAAAAAAGAAGTTGGAGATTAACACGATATTTTAATTTTTTCAATGACTAAAATGCTAGGTTCAAATTCTCAAGAACTAAAATAAGGGTCTAATCTTTTTATTATTATTATTGAATAGATTTTTTTTTTTATTGGAATTAATATTGTTGGATGCGGGTAAAAATACTATGAATGATAAAATTCTCCCTTGAAATATATACAACTTTCCCATTTCTTTTGTTGTAATTTGTTATAATTTTTATTAAATAGTATAAAAAATATTTTAACTGTATACTTAACAACAGATACGGAGGAGCTGACTGTTATAATTTTTAGTTTTTAAAAATTATATTATAAAAAAAATTTTAAAAATAAAATAAAATAAATTATTTGGTAATTTAATTTTTAAAACTGTTGTTAGTTGAACTTTTATTAGTTTTAGGAAACAAAACAGAAAAAATAAAAACAAAAACACCTCAATAGTAATTCTATTTTTTAGTTTTAAAAACTGAAAAAAAAATATTTTTAAAAATATTTTTTAAAATTTATATTAACAAACAAGTTTTTTGTTTTTTATTTTTAAAAACAGAAAATTATATTTAAAAAGAGAAAACAAATTATTTTTCAAAATTTCTTAAACAAAATTAGTAAAAATAAACTATCATTTATTTAAAATATACTGAAATATACACCACTTTAACCTACATACAATGGCCATGGCATAAATCATTAGATATGTTAAACCGAACCAAAACAGCACAGATGTTTTTTCACTGAATCTAACAAATTTTCAAGTACCTGGCACTGAATGCTCTACTTCTAAGTCCTACCTACAACGTCTTTTGAGGGCGAGTTTAATGCTTTTGTATTTAGGGCACCTTGGCACCCTGCTCCCATGTCGTGGAATTAGAAAAGGTCGGTCTTATTCCACTGAACCAAAATTTTATGCTTTGTTTTTGTACATAAAAATGAGTAAATTACAGTGGCATCGCTCTACTTTTGGGTAAGGGAAAATGTTAATGATGTCAATTATCTAATTCCTCAAGCTTGACATGATGGGGATTGGGAAGTGCTACCTTAAAAAAGAGAAAATAGACTAACCCAGAACCTTAAGCTGGTTCAAAAAATTTCCTCCTGAAATTATTAATGGAGAATGCCCCTGCCGCATTGTGATTCATCAATCGCATTATGTCTTAAAACACTTCCTCATCATCCTTGGCTTGAAGATAAGAAATCTAAACACCAATTACTTCTGAAACCCATTACTTCACAAAGTAAATATCAAGTATTTGTGATCAGTAATTCATCAAGCAGCTCAAAAACATACAATAGCTTTCTGTCTCTGCAGATCAATTCAATTAAAAGCTCCCAAGAATCAAGTCTTGGCCGGAACCCCATCTCCACCAAGTCAACTAGAGCCACAGCAGCAGCATCAACCATTCCTGCCTTACAAAGATGAACCAATAATTCATTCGAGGTAGCATAATGGGGTAGAAACCCCCTACTTAGCATTAGCGCCAACAATGTCTTTGCCTTTTGCAACTCACACTTTTGGATTAAGGAATTCAGGACAATTCTATAACTAACTTTGTTCAAATACGCACCCTGCTGTGGGAGGTTCTGAAGCATATCCAGAGCCTCGTCAAACCTTCCTTCTCTGCCTAGTCCCCCAAGTATCACATTGAATATAATAGTATCGGCGTGGCACTCATTTTCCTTCATCTCTTTAAGCAACTCTATAGCTTCACTACTCTGGCCATTCCTACAAAAGAAATTGATCAAAGCAGTATAAGTAACTGCATCAGGTTTCAAACCAGAACTCTTCATCTCAGCCAAAACGCCTCTTGCATCCTGCAGTTTCCCCACTTTGCACAAGCCATTCAAAAGGGCTGTGAAATTAACCACATTTGGAAGACATCCATTATTCTTCATAAACTCAACAACATTTCTAGCACGCTCCGGTTCACCTCGGCGACAAAACCCATTGATCAAAACATTGTAAGTAAGAGGATCAGGCACAATGTGATCCTTTGAAACCATCTCCTCAAAAAGCTCAAAAGCTTCCTTTAGTCTTCCACTTTGACAAAGACCATCCATTAGGGTTGAGTAAGTAACTAAATTAGGGTAAGACAAATTAGATTTCCTCATTTCCTTCACAACTTCAAAAGCAGAATCAAAATCCCCATTTTTGCAATGGTACTTCACTAAGATATTAAATATACACACATTAGGCTTATTCGTTAGACTCCTCTTAGCATGCAGTAGCAATTTTCGCGCCAAATCTACCCGATTGGAATCAAGCAAAAGATTGAGACAAGTGCTAATAGCCTTGGGAGAGGGCTTTTCACGAACAATTGGCTGGATGGAGAAAAACGCGTGAAGCACATTTTCATGAAGGGAGAATTTCGAAAAATGCTTCATAAGGTTAATAAATATACCCTCGTGGAATTTGCAAGTTTCATAGCTCATTTGACGCAGAACTCCATCCACGGCCTGAAATTTCTTCAACCGAGCAAGCTTCTCGAGAATGGTAGAATACGTGGCATTGTTGTGATTAAAACCCTTCTGCTCCGACACCATGTTGAATATCTTCAACGCGCGTTCTGGATCTTTCTCTCGTTTGATCAAGTTAATCGCAGACTCGTGAGAGATATACCTTCGCTTCCTCTGAGCTTCGCCGGGAGCAACGCAGATTTCAGGAGGAGGATCCGGTTTGGGTTCTGCAGCTTTTGCAAACTTAAGAGGTGAAATCCACGGCAACGAAGACGATTCAGAAGAAGTGACACAGTTATGCAGCCTGTGCCTGCTATAGTAAATCGTTGAAGTTTTCATGAAACCAAACAAGAGACTGAATAGCGAATGGTTCTTCTTTGCAACCTGGTTTCTCCCCCTTAGGTAATCAAGGTTCAGTCGTCGTATCTTTTTTTTTTTTTTAACCCATGGGTTGAGTCTTCTTGGATAGCAGCCTTTTTTACCTAAAGAATGGGCTGAGTATCCTCCTCAGGCCCAATAAATAGACCCGTTAATTAATGGGTTCTATAAAATCTACGTAAATCTAGGTGTCTTTTTTTTTTTATCTTTATATAGTATTTTAAAATAATATATATTAAAATATATATTTTTTAAATTATAAAATATATGATTTAAAAATCATTGTAATACAAATATAAAGATTCAGACATATAACAGTTTAAAATTATAAAATATCAAAAAATGCTTTAAAAAATTTAAAAATTAAAGAAATAAATAGTAATTTTTTCAAAAATAATAAGAAACTTAAACCACAAAAAATGAATGGCAATTTTTAAGATAAAAAACTACAAATGATTAAATTTTAAAAGTTTTCCATGTTACCATAATTTTTGACAGCTCAATCCTACACATCACCACATCATATCATGTCAGGTTATTTATTTATTTATTATTTATAAATAAACAAAAACCCATTCCGTTCCATTACAGGTACTGTTACAGAGTAGATAGTTGTAGTTGTTGGTTGTTGAAGCGTGGAAGGGGGAAAAAATGGCTGCGGTGCCGGAAAACCTAAACAGAGAACAATACGTGTACCTTGCGAAGTTGTCGGAGCAAGCGGAGAGGTACGAGGAGATGGTGGAGTTCATGCAGAAGGTGGTGGTGGGGTGGACCCCAGCTTCGGAATTGAGTGTGGAGGAGAGGAACCTGTTGTCTGTGGCCTACAAAAACGTGATCGGGTCTCAGCGAGCGGCGTGGAGGATTGTGTCTTCCATTGAACAGAAGGAAGAGGGTCGCAAGAACGATGACCACGTGGCACTTGTCAAGGAATATAGATCCAAGGTGGAGAATGAGCTGACTCAGGTTTGTGCTAGTATCCTCAAACTCTTGGAGTCCAATCTTGTTCCCTCTGCCTCCGCTAGCGAGTCCAAGGTTTTCTATTTGAAAATGAAAGGCGATTATCATCGCTATTTAGCAGAGTTTAAGGTTGGGGATGAGAGGAAAACCGCTGCTGAGGATACGATGTTGTCTTACAAGGCTGCCCAGGTTTTCCTTTTTTTTTTTATTATTATTTCTTTTTGTTTTTTCAAATTTTAATTCCTTTTTAGGAAGTAATCTTTTTTATTTATTGGGTGTTGAAGGATATTGCTTATGTGGATCTTCCCCCTACTCACCCCATAAGACTGGGTCTGGCTCTTAATTTCTCTGTCTTCTATTATGAAATTCTCAACCAGTCTGATAAAGCATGTGGGATGGCTAAACAGGTCAGGTTCAGCTTACCCATCTGGCTATATTTGTAATTTTATGTGCTGTGAGTTGGTTGCTGTCTGAATTAGAATGTTTTTTCTGGTATATGAAGTTGTGCCTGCTTGCTTGTGTTTGTTACCTTGAAATGATCAGGTCAAACTTGATTTTAACATTTTTTTACCTTCGCCATGTTTGGTCATTCAATTGTCCTTGCCCTTTTACTTTGCTCTAAGATTTCATTCCATTTAACAATTTTGGGAAAATGGGATCTCTTTTTTTTAATCTTTGCTGGTTTTATATAATGGACTGCATTCTTATCACTAGGAATGCGGTATTGACATGTTTGAAATACATTTTGACTAAGAGGTCTGTTTGAGTTGGTATATGACTGTGTGTATCTTAACAGAAGATGGGTGAAAACCGGATCTTTTGTGAATTTCTCTTGTTTTGCTTGCTATAGCAATCTGTTTTCTCTTAACGTGTTCAAGTTATTGATTTACGCACATAACACAGATGATAGTTCTTCCACTTCTGTACCTATGATAGTTGAGCTGGATGAACAATGAATTGCACAACATAGCAGTCTAACTGCCAAATTTGGGCACTTGTAGTTTTATGGGCGAGGCTAAGGTTATTGTGGGAGAATTTATAGTTTCAAGAGAAATGTCTGTGTTTGGTGATAGTTATGTGATATTGAATGTATTTGTATTTTGTAATGATGCTAAAACTTTTGCTCACGAAGCTTTAGCTAGGTAAGGTTTTTTGCTAATAGAAAAGGGGAAATTACACATGGCAACAAGTCGACAAAAGCACTTTCACCTTGGTTCATCAAAATTCTTCTCTTTTCTCAGAAATAAAATGCTATTTTGCATCTGCAATGATATCATGATTACACCCCATTGTAATATCTGCTTATGTAGCAAAATCTTAATTTTGTTAAATTCTAAAACATAGTTAATCGGTTGCGTACCAAACTTGAAGTGTCGGTAGCTTTAACCCGAAATTCGATTTCCTTCCCCGGGAAAATATACACTTCATTTGTCCATTAGCAATCCAGCCTTATCCATATTGATACGCATGATTCCTTTATGCTTGGCTTCTAGTGTTCTGAGTACTGCAATACATACTTATTGATTCTAAAATTCACTGAAAAGTACTGGTTTTCATGTTTGAAAGGCTTTTGAGGAAGCAATTGCTGAGCTGGACACCTTGGGAGAAGAATCCTACAAAGACAGCACTCTCATAATGCAACTTCTAAGAGACAACCTCACCCTTTGGACTTCTGATGTCCAGGTAAATGTCACTATAGAACCCACCAATTATAGAATATTTCTCTCTTCCTAATATTGCGTTGCACCTGATGGATCAAAATTTGAGTTGAACTATATTTGACTTACTGCAGGACCAGCTAGATGAGCCCTGATATCCATTATAAGGTTGATGGGTGGTATTCTTCCTCTGAAGGAGGTGGGCTTTGAATGTCATTTCTTTGTGCTAATTAAGAATCGCCCTAGTTTATAAAAAGATTCACAATCTGTGATATAATGCTGTATGAACAGAAGACCAACCCTTTTTTTTCTGTGTCATATGATTTGGAAAGGATACTGTATAATGGGATATCCAATTAATTATATCTGTTGCAATCATCCCTTTACCCCCAGTTTTTTGTGTTGCTTCCACAGTTCACAACAAATAGGGTCGTGGGTCCTATTTTAAATTATGGGTCAGCCCTCATTCTAGCTTGTGTGGTCCTATAAGAACTAGAAGTGTGATTGTAGCCGCATTATTCTCTCATGGAAGCAACATTTTTCATTACAGCCATAATGGCGCATAAATCATCCGTCGTACACGCTATGATGCTGACAGATATATGTTGTTAACATAAATATCAAACTTATTCAATGCACTAAAAGTAGCAAACGACATTACTTTCTAAAGATGCCAAAAAATACGCTTGGTGTTGTAGAATGGCAATCTACACCAATTTGGCGCAATGTCTTCTCTACCAATCATTTTTGCTGCTTCTTGAGGTATAAGATAGTTGAAAGTGTGGTTTATATAATTGCATAAGTTGACTAGAAACATTCCTCTCCCGCCGTTATATAATTTTCGTTTTCGTTCATACTGCAAGTAATGGCAGTAATTGATCTAAGCCACCGCACGCTTTGCCTGTCTACACAATAATAATTTCATTTCCTTCATGTTTGTTCGTGTAGAAGATTTATTGGTTTAGGGTTAAAATAATTTCCTCCCCCTCCCTCCCTCCTAATTAGATGTTTTTAATTATGAGATAATATATCATTTTATACACAATAATATTGAAAAGATAAAAAGAAAAGTTTGAACACGTGTAAAAAAGGTCAATAAAAGCACTAGATTATATCACATTTAGTATAATAAAAAAGAGTAGAAGAATTTTATAGAAAATTATTAAAAGAAATACAGTAAAAAATAATATTTCAGAGAATTTTATTTTTGATCAAATTCATTAACGCTGGATAATTGACCTTACTTAATAAAATAAGATTTTATTATTATTTATATTATTTTTAACCTTATAGTTATATTATTACAATTTTAAACTTCTTAATTAAGCATGTGGCTTTACTATTAAGATAAAGTTATAAACTTTTAAAAGGTACTTTTGACCCCCAAAAAAAATTCTAAAAGCACTCTAATGATAAAAAAAAACATGGAAAAATAAATTTTAGAATTATAATAATCTAATCCCAAACTTTCAAACAAGGTAATTGAAAATCTCCAAATAATACATGGATCTCCAAATTAATTTCACAATAAATATATTTGTGCCTTCTACATCTTACACCCTTCCTCCAATAAACTGTGGTATCTTCTAGTTCTAGTATCTACTTCCGGTTTAACTGGATGTGGCCAAAGACGTTTGTAATACATGGTAAATCTTGCATTGTCATTTTTAAGTATCGTCTCTTTAATTTAAGAATTTTATTAATACTCTCATTATCAGAGATTAAAAAAATATTTTGAACAAAAACTATTAAAACAAAAGTGGCAATAAACAATTTAGAATGAAAATAAATATTCCCAGCTTGCAAAAGTAAACTTCATCAAAACCCCACTATTTAAACCTCTGATATTGAAAATCAGACTCGGGTCAATGGAATTTTAACAGGGAGAATGTTCTTTGGAGGGCAGCGACCAGTGACCACCAACTTTACATCGGAAGCAAGACTTTAAGAGGATTCAATTGGAGTTTCGGTTAACGGGATTTACGACGAGATTTATAATTTTAATGGCTACCAATCTACAATATTTCAAAGCATGTTCAGAGATTAATATGTAGTCAAGAAATGCTTCATAAAATTATATTTAAGCGGCACTAATGATCCCCAATTTTTACAGTTTTTTTTTTTTTTTTTTTTTGGGTATTAGCTTGTTAGATCAAGTATGCCTTCTATAAAAGTTGGCAATAACAATAATATATACACACACACACACATATATATATATATACACTCAAAATTTTACAGAAACAAAATAAAGATATACAAATTAAAGGGGAAATAAGTTTTAAAAATTGCAAATAATTACTACAATGCCTATCATTGTCTAATTTCCACAAAGTAGATTTAAGTTGTATTGATGATTTGTGTTAAAACAAATTAAACATAGTCACTAAGCCACCCAATGAACTTGATGGACTTACAACTATAAACTTGTAGACTTCAAAGAATAATTTTAAACATGAAATAGGACATTAAATATTATTTTTCAATTAATACTTTTTTTTAAGTGATAAGAAGATAAGTAAGAAAAATTAAGAAAATATTGGCCACTTGTTCGGTGCACTAATTCAATTACCTATTTGAAGAAGACTTGTACCTAATTTTAAATGGCGCCACTCACGTCAGGCTACATATTTGGCTTCCTTCAACGTCATATATTTGTAGGAGTGTTACAAGGAGTGAGGTTAGAAAATCACCTGGGAGTTTCACTGTTTTTTGGGGTTACAGAGGAGTGAGAGGGGCTAAAGAGTGGATAGAATGCCAATACATATTTTTATGTAGGGAATTGAAAGAAAAAAAACTGTTATAACCTAAAAGCAGATGGATGGATGGATGGATGGATGGTGCACGTAACACATGAATCAGACAACAAAAAACTAAAGGCCGAATGTGCATAAAACCGTAAAGAAAAGGTTTATTCACATAATATCATATTCAACCCATTACCCATAACAATCATCAGCAGTAATACAAGACCGATCGTCATCCTCTACGCCATAATATTTCAGAACCCATTGCCTAGTTACATAGATGACACGCCAGCATTATTTAAACACACAATCGCAGATGAACTCTTGAAACCACACATCTAGCTATAAACTTGATCGTCACTCCCTTGTGCTCTCTTTTATCCATTCTAAATATTTGAGATTGCCCCCATTGATGGGCAAGGAGATCACCTCTGGCACACTGAAAAAAGACAAAAGGAAGAGGTAAGAAGCATGTGAATACATTGTTGTCCTTCCACAATTACTAGATATATCAGCCTTACTCGTATTCATGATTTGCTTTGACATGCTCTGTCAGTGGTTCCAGAAGGGATTGCCTAGTCTTGATTATAAGCAGTTCCTCAGAATCAGTTTGGATCTGTCAAATTTGCAAAACAAAGCATCAAGCGACAATACTTTCAAATGAATTTCCTTAAACAACTCCGTAAGATCCTTAATGCATGCTAGAAAATAAGAACATTTAATGTTACAGTGAAAATGTTTTTAAAACCAAGTTTCTGACTTTCTGTTACTGTTCGTAATTTAGTATTCAAACAGCATTTTTCATAAATGGAGATATGGAAGGTCATACCTTTCCCTCCCACTGGTACACTGACTCGATACCTACACAAGACATAATTCAAATGGCTTTTAGAAGTCAGTCATGAGATGCAACCTATATAGAGCTATTTTGTATAAACTTCTCAAACAAGTACTAATAGGAGAACAAAAATAGAAAGAATCAAAGAGCTAAAATGAATCAAACTTCTCTTACAAGTTAAAATTAACTTATGCACCTCAATTTATAAAAAAGTTAGATGAGGGAGCTTCTAAAACTTTGATATGCAAAGTTTAATCATTAGTTATGAAGAAATTTGATTCACTTCGCCTCTTTACTTTGTTTTATTTATTTCTTCTTTAGGTGTTTCTTTAAGAAGTTTATCCAAATTAGCCCTTAATCAACTTGGTAAGTGAAAAAAATTGACTCAAGACCATAACAAACTTAATCCTTTTCCTTCCACCCTAATACAATGGCACTGGTGGTGGACCGCACACACCATAAATGAAACAAGTACACAAGCTCAACGCGGAGACACATCTCAAATAGTGAATTTTATTCTAGTTTCTGTTACCTACATGCGGGCATGCAGCTAAAGATATGACAAAGAATTCAATTTGTAGTTTTGTGACCATGCATCAAGGTAAATATATCTATTGTTTATACTAAATAAATCACATGCTTAGAAATGGAGTGATTAAAAAGTTACAGAAGAGTCCAATAAATTTTCAAAAGAGAAAAGGAGTGAGTTTAAGAAAGCTATCAAACTATGCATGTACTGACATGTTCATATTGCAAGAGAATTTCCCGGATGACCTTGTTCGAATATATGCAAACAAAGTAACACATAATACGAATTGACTTCTCAATCTGGATCTTGCTATTCCATCAAAAAAGAATCTAACATAAGATGGAAGCTCACCCCGCAATACATTCATAGCAGTCTAATCATTATGCAAAAGTAAGCATATTTATACTTCATCCTCGTTCTCTAGTTTTCTAGAATCACTTATTTATCAAATCAATTCCAGGGATGTAATCGCAAAAATAACATGATTTATAGAAGCACAAAAAGAAATTGCTAGAAGTACCAAACTCTGCCCAAATTCTTACCAGGAACCCTATTCACACAAGCTGCAAGCTTCTCCATGACAATGCTTTCGGCCAATTTCTTACCTGCACAAAACAGCAACTCAGGTCAAAATCAAAATCAAAGAAACAGAAATTAAAAACTAAATAACAGGACATGTTCAAAGTTGAAAGGACCAGCTTCTTTGTTGGGAACAGTGACATAGACAACAATGCTTGGGACGGTGGTGTTATTCCCTTCCATTCTGACGCTCGTCGCAGAGGAGTGGCTATGGATACCTAATTTGGATCTGAAACAGATGCAATTGAAATAAACGGAGCGAGAAATCAAGAAAAGAGAAAGTGTGCTATGAGAGTGACACAGAGTACCGTAAGAGAGATTTTACGCCCCCCGTTTTGAGAGCAGAGGAATAGAAGGGTGAATAGAGATTGGAGAGTCCCAAACTGAGCATGCAAAACGCCCCAACAAGGGGAAGACGACGTCGTAGCGTAGAGGAAGAAACGAAGGTTGATGGTCGAGAAGTGGAGGAGCAGAGTGTGGTGGAAGTGGAAGCCATTTTTGGAAATGGGGTTCGAAGCAATCTTATAAGGTGCTGCGCGTCTCTATCAAGCCCCCTACTGCTCCTTTCCTTGATGCGCTCGACCTTAGCTTCCCAAGTTCCGTATCATACTCTTGCTTCTGACACCTGTATGCTTGCATCGCTGCTCCAATGCTTCCCGGTGCAGCAAACTCGTCAAAACCAAACCAATCAATTTTCTATACACATAATTATGAGCCCTCAATTTTATTACTATAATCAAGTTTAAAACAAGATTAATATGTTTTTTAATATCTGTAAATATAATTCATTTTAATCCTTAAAGAAAAATTATTGATTTTTTTTTTATAAATTTTAAGAAATTATTCTTGTTATCACTTATTGATGAAATATATCATGTCATATATGGCTATTAAATGCTATCACGTATTATTTTAAAAAATTTATAATAATTTTTAGGAAATAAAATCATGGTTAAGCGCCAGAAACAAAATCAAAATAATTTTTTTAAGTTGCACGGTTACTATTTTATATTTTTTTTTTAAACCAACGATTTTTCTTTGTTTACTATTTATAACAAATTAAATTTAAGATCTATTTTTTTGTTAATGTAGTTAAATTTAGTTTTAGTGTTTTAATTCCTTTATTAATTTTGAATTCATAAAATTCTAAAAAAATAAATATTTTTATCACCATTAGTAATAACAATAATTATATTAATCATAAATAATTGTTAATTACCTATAAATCCTTTTTAGATGTTTTTGTTCAACTAATTCCTTGTAAATGGGCCTTTCGATTTTCGGCCTAGACAGAGATAGCGCGTGTGTTGTTTTGCAATAACCAGGGCTGAATAAAGGGAAGGGCAAAGCTCCAAAGAAATAGAAACAACCAAGCCCAAACTCGGCCCATGTTGTCTGTTTAGTGCAAGTCATAATAATTTTAGAAGAATGTTATTTGCCCTATTTTTTTTTATTCATACAATTATTTTTAATCATTTAAAAATTAAATTTTTAAACACATTTTAAAATAAAATTATAGAAGACATCTACATTCAAAACTTAGATTTTAGAAACTGTAAATTAATTTTTAAAAAGTAAATTTCAAAAAATATTTATAAAATTCCATCGAGCTTGACAAAAAAAAATATATTTTTCATTTAAATCACAAAATAGAAGATTTAATTTAGTTTGAATATATATTTTACACTTGGGTAGATTACACCGACATAGCTAAAAAAAGTTAGAATAAATTAGACAAAAAAAAAAATGCCCTAACTATTTTTTTAAAGTCATTGTCAAGTCAATTCGATCAAGCTCAATTATTTTTTTCACCTTAACTATCAATCATTTCGCTAGTTTTAAATTTCAATACCAATATTGTAATATTATACAAATTTTGTTAACCAGTATCTTCGAGATATGAGTTAAACATTTAATAATAAAATATTAATAATAACTACATTAAAATATATAAAGAAAAAGTAATAAAAACATATTAATATCACAATTTAATTAAAATCCATACTTTAAACTATTTAATTAATACATCCTGCATTTGTCATGTCTTAATAAACATGTTTGAAAGAAAGTTGTGTTAATTACCATTTCTAAATGTCTATTTGTCACCTAAAAAAAATTCCGTACAAAATCGCTTTTCCTCTTTTATAGCCAAATTAAAAAATATATATCTTAGAAATTGCTCAAGAGCGACAATTGAAAAAAAAAATCACTCTCATTGTTATCCATTGCATAGGTGTGAATGAGACCAATAATTGCACTGCTATTAGTTGTAAAATATTTTAAAAAATAAAAATATTTCCAAAAAAAATGTAATTTAAATTGTAGATTAAAAAACAACATTATATATACATATAGACACACACATACATACATATGTATAAGTTATCAATTTGATAAATTTCCATCCATTTATTTTATAATAATTAGTTGGCAACGGATTAGTATTTTAAAGTTTTTATTAATTGTGAAGTTGCATCCAACCACAACTATTTAACACAGCCTTGATTTGTTTGAGTCTTACACAATGTGTACTACAGTTTTGATCATTAATGGAGAATATACCCGTTTGCTATTTTTTTATGGCCTTCTTAGTTCTTGGCCGTTGAAACCAGCAAACAATTTATTATGCATTAGCACCAAATATATTCTATAACTATACAGTCAGATCTCATCACAATTTTATTCTTTTTAGTGATAGTTACTAAGAGTCGTTTGCTTATATATAAAAAGAAAGTGATTAATAAATTAATCACAGTAACACTGATACAAACAGTGACACTAACAGCACAACAATTACAGTAATAATAATAATAATTGGTAAAATGTAGTTATAATGCTAGTAATAGTTATAATACCATTAGCATTGATAAAATTGTAACCGTGACAACAATCTGCAATAGCAGTAATAACAATGCAACAGAAGAAAGTTGTTTGAGTTCATATTGAAACTGTAAAAAGGAGTATTTTTGGGTTTTAAGATCTTACATAAATTTTTGGGGCAACATTCATTCCCTCACATCATAATGACCAATGTACAATTCAATGACGATAACACACACACCCCCCCAATTGCAAGGCTATTCAACAAATTATAAATATGAGTGGTGGAAACTGGGATATAGATGTGTTAATCATGTTTTTGAAAAAGCTCACAATAATTTAAATAAATTTTTTAATGCATGTGTAAAAGTACAAGTTGATAAATATATATTATATATTATTTATATTCTAGAAACTTTAAAGCAACAGGAGTTATTACTTATAGTGTAGCTTCTAGCCACTCAAGTAGTTAGATAGGTGTAATATTTATTTGGAAAAGTTCCTAGAACATTAACACTTATTTATATTAATCAAATCTTAACTAATTTAAGAGACAATAAAAAATAAGTAAATCAAATTTAAATAATAATATAAAATATGAACATTTTAATATTAATTAGTACGGATTATAAGTGGGATTAAAGCTGACAGCTAAATATGGGGAAAGACAAAACATAGAGATCCGTTGTCACATTCAGATTGAAGGGAAGTAGCGTGCGCACAAGTTAAGAACTGCCAATGTTTAATTGGTTGCTCTGTAGCATTGGATCTTCACGCTTGGTTGCCATTGCCATATGATATTTTGTTTCACATTTTTATAATTTAATTTCTTCAATAGTAATCTTATAAATGGGTACGCGCCGCCCACAGTTCACACAGTTGGGTGTTTTTATATTTGATTTGACTAATGCAAAATAGACAATAGAGATTAGTAATTCAATTAATTATTAACAAAAAAAATTGTATAGCCAAAGTGTCAACCAAACTACCCTCTCTCACATTTCTCACCCCTTTCTCAAGGCATAGAGGCCCCGTTTGTCGCCAATAAGCTAATGCCTTTCCTTGTTTGGATTTTCTTGTGGATTTCGATAAAGACGGTGCTTAAGCCAAGACAAGCCACTTTGCCAGCTCCATTAGTCTTCCCCATTATACTATTCTCTCTAATTCTGCTTAGAATTGAAATTTAAAATATATATACTTTTGGATACTTCTATTATTTTTAAATTTATAAACTTAGTATTACAGATTGATATATAACATTAATTTCATGCATGTTATTGTATATGTATCGCTTATTAGTATACGTGCTACCCAACTTTCATCCAATTATTTGAGTTGAGCTCGATTTAAATTGCATTTTCCTCGTATTGTTTAAGTTGATGCCGTGTTTTACTTGCATTTTAATTAAGAATGTCTTGGATTAATACACTGAGTTACGACTCACAACTAAAACGACACAATACTGTTTGGAAAGAATCAAGATGCATTAGAGATGGGGAGACCCGGGGACCCAATCTCGGTCCACGTGGGGATCTAGTTTCTTCTAGTTATTAAGAACAGAATTATGTGCTACAATAATAAACTTTAATTAATTAGACATTAATTTATGTTGCCATTGGTGCAATTTCTAAGGTTGTATAGATCAAGAATCAAGATTTGGGTTTCTCGTGGAGACACAGAAGATACGGCAGATGTTCTGGACATTGTGGCTGAGGACGAGGCATTAGACAGTGCCATTCCGCGGCGTTGGGTTGGTTGCATTATTGCATATTTGACTCTCGTTTAAAAGCATCGTAGTTCACAAACTTTGTACTCAAAAAATCAAGAATTCAATCTTAATCAATTTATATGTACTAAAAAAAATCATCTATTTGTGCCCACCTTGATTTGGCTACAAAATACAGAGTACTGTACTCTTTATCGTCACCATCTTTTTGTTTTAATTATTTATTTATAGTAAAAAAACGATTTAATTTTTATTTATATCTGTATATAACGCATTAGAATAAGGGGTGAAATGGTGGTGCAGTGGTGTTAATACATACTAGTTTATTGAGGTGCTGAATCTCAAGGACTTGCTTGAATGACTGGAAATCATTTATTTAAATCTGTAGATGGAGAATTCAATTCTGTGTATCTCCTGGTTGTAAATTAAATATTTTAAACAAAGAAGAAACAAAATCAGACTGATCCGAGTGGTTGGTTATTTCAAAATCAATTCTGTAAATAATACATGGATAAAACAATGATATATATACTCACCAACGTTTTTTCTAATAAAGTAATTCGTGTAATAAATGCATTGGTAAAAACAAAAATTAGCATCAAAATTATGATAAAATTGGATGGCTATGCATAATTTTTCTTACTGACTTTGCCATACTTGAGTACAGAATAAACTCAAAATGTATCTATCCTATGATAAGGAATATATATACCGATAACTTTTATAAATATGCTTGATGGGTAATGTTAGAAAGTTTCCTTTGTTTAGTTCAAATTTATCATTAATTCGTGACCCCAACTTGGATCCAATGCCGCGAGTTGTATAGACCAAAGCCAAGTTTAGATGCAAAGTTTTCTTTTCAAACGTGACATTACTATTGATACCCATGTGATGTTTGAACGTGACCACGTAAGTAAGCAAAGCCAAAACCGTAAAACGGTATCCTTTGGCAGAACGTATAATTTTACACAGGATAAGATGCGCAACCAAACACGCACAAGCATGAAATTATTTGTCTATCAATGAGTGAACGAATTGGTTAGCTCAATAGTGGATCAGTAC